AAATCCTTAGATAGGACGAATCCGGAAGATAGGACGAGGCTTTGTTTATCGATTTTCTAGAGATTCTTACGTATATACTACGTATCAGAACATGTAAACCTCTTTAACTTAACCTGTAATATTAACGTATTGAGAAAATAAACTGGTATTTTTTATGAGTACAGCATTTTAATAGTGTTTTATACAAACATAGTTAAAATTTCCTTGAATTGTGATATAACGTATTTTCTCCAACTTGCCTGTTCAATGCCGTCGTAGTTTGACTCTGTCCTTAAACACATAAATACGGTAGTATACAACAGCTATTATTAGGGAAATACCCGAAATCAAACAATAATCATTTCCATTTTAGAACATCTTGGACACATTCTTTTATTCCGACGTTATTTCCCGGGGTACAATATTAACTTCGATGACCGCCATTTTTATATTTCTTGTCCAGGGATTTGCTAAAACACGCAAATGACTATTACCAGTACATGTAACAGTGAGCAATTGAAATTAGTTATATTAACATGCTATAATTTTGCTTGAGATATTGCTGAAAAAATAAATTTAATTGAGAGTACATTCGCAATTTAACAGTCATTATGAATTTCACAGTTTTGTTTGTTCAATGATGTATAGCACTAATACCCCTGTAACGGCACGTGGATCTGTTAATCATGCCCCGCAGGTGTTTTAACCAACACAGGTGTTAACACCTTTGTGTACACAGTGTATATCCCTTTTCTGTCAGACAATTAAAATTCTATTAGAAGCCAATCTTCGTATAATTCAGTGTACCCCTTGGGATAAAAAACAAAATAGTTATGACTAGCGGTATATTTGGTAAATAATTTTAGGAATTTACTGGCAACAATTTATTTCACGTATTTTACATTTAAATAAATACCACAAGACAATGAAAAAATATTTAGGTATACTATTTCAATTAATTGTTACAAATAAATGGAAAAAAAAGATTACATCTGCGATTGTGAAAACGCTTCCGTATTTTAAACTTTGATACGGTTGTGGTTTTATTTTTAGTAAGCGATTGCGACTTCCAACTTCACAAGATGGACAAAGCATGTTGTAAATATACGTTGAGACATTATTTACTAGATGATATGTTTTTTTGTACATCGACGGATATATAATGGAACTTATTTTGTAAGAAATCAATGGGAGATATTTAATTCTTTATTGTTTAGTACTTTTTTCTCGGTAAAATAATTTAAAAAGTTACGAAAATGGCACAGATTTGTTTTGAAATTGACGTAAATTTCACTAATTTGGGGGCATTTTTCATAAACTTGAGCCTTAGAAAGGTCGATTCGTTAAATTGGGCGACCCCAACGGTTCTGAGAAAAAAAGTATCGACCTATACCCCAAAACTTACGGTATACAGAATTAGTGAATGATTGGTAAAAATGCTTTGAAAATTATAATAATCACTAAATCTAAATAAAATTCCCATCCATTTATGCAAGGCATAATTCTTTTATGCAACAAAAGAATTGACGACGAAATAAAGCTATAAAGAGCACAAAAAAACATCGTCTTTTAACCTGAATTTCCTCTGCTCTCAGGAATACTGTCAAAGAATCTGTTTCAAAAATCAACATTTTTTTTCACTTTCAGACAATCCAGAATGCAGAGCTGTAGAACCATCTCCCACCCCCTTTTTAGAATAGCTAGTGTTTTTGTTAATTAAGTTTGAAAATTCTGATTTGAAGGCATATTCCTCCTCCCCTCATCACTTTTGTTGCAATTATGCATTTTCCAATATTCCCTCTCTCAAGTTATTGTACTCATTTTTTTTGTGCAGAAAATTGAAAATGAGTGAGAATCCCCCCCCCCCCCCCCCCAAAAAGGGATTAGGTCTTTTTGAATGTTGGTAGTTTTCATTTGTCCTCTTTTTAATTTTTTTTTTACATTTGATATTCAAAGTTTCTACATCATCATCATATTTTTAATATTCATCTTTGTTTGTACTTGAAGAGACTTAAGAAAAGTGAAAAGTGACCAGTTACACTTAAATGGTTAACGTACAAAGGGATAGGGTTGGATTTCAGTTTGAGAAAAATGAAAATCGTGAAAAGTTCAGACTCAAAAAACTGATGTACAAGGCATAGTCTTAGATTACAAAAGCTCAAATGAGTCTTTGAGTCAGGTGACTATGAAATTAAAAGGATTAATAATTAATTAAATTAGTAATACATACCTGTGAAATGTCCAGCATAAGTTATAAGTTCAAATTCCGATTCTTTTTAAAGCTTTACAAGTCTACAATCATAAAAGTAAAATATTTTTAATAAATGAGTCAAAATTTTAAATTTGAAAATATAATTAATATATTACTTTAAGCTTATCAAAATTAATTCTCTGTATATCTGCAGGAAATGTGAATATATTCATAGCTTACATTCCTATATCACCAGAAAGATAATAAATTAAAAAACAGAAGTATATATAATAAAAAACTGCTTGTGTGTATTACTGTATACATACTGAAATACAGCAGATTCCTTATCAGGCCAAAAATAAAATTAGCTTTGTTTGGCGTTGCCGTCCTACTCACATAAATTGGTGCAGTCCGAAGAATTTTTTTCAACAGATACTGATCATAATTTTTATTTCGTTATATTCACCCGGATTTAGGTGTTTGTACGTTTGCGTAATATATACAGAATGGGAAAGAATCATGTAAACGCTTGATTGATCAAACAGTTTTCATTTATAAGCATCTCTGTGATGTTAAATAAATGCGTATCACGAATCCAAGCATGGCTGTCGAAAGCGGTAAAATGTAAACTCTGTATAACAGAAGTTGATGGCATGACTCTCTGTGGTAATGTGGTTTTAAAAGTAAACTGATGAATAAGATATACCAGTTCAAAATAGAAATTTCACAGTACAATGTCCTGTCCCATTTGCCAGTCTAGCTGCCATGCTTGGATTCGTGCACATGATTCGAATTTACACTAATTTAATGTCAGTGATTTTTAATACTATGTATATTAAAGGTTTAAAACTAATAGGGTTTGAAAATCAATGACAAAACTGAGAATCAATTCGGACTGTGGTGGTTGTTAAACTATCGGAAACCCATGATGTTCGGATACTAACAACATGTACCATTTCTGAAAATTAAATAAAAAAAAAATATTTTCCCTACCTACTGATCCAAACATATAAAGACCAAGTCGGCAACGCCAAACCAACAATATTTTAATTGTGGCCTCATATGAAATTTCTATCAGCATAAAATTGTAAAGGAAATCCTAATCTCACTTTTATTTTCATTAATGATTAGGTGTAGTATAGATTTACAGTAAGTGAAAAATAATGATTACAAGTAATGTATGCATAATGAAAATCAGGGTTGGAAACTCACTGGAAATAGCAGCCAGCCACAGGGCTGGCTTCTTTTAAAAGTTACCAGCCCTGCTCAAAATTTGCCAGCCCTGATAAAAATGTTCATTATTATGAATGTATTATAAATTTTGTAACACAGCTGTTCCCGACCGGGAAAGCAAAATCGACCTAAAATTTTCACCCTGAAATTTCCGATTTTTCCGAGTTTCCTGTCATATTTTGTCAATCGGGACACGAATATCAGGTTTATTTATTTAATACATACAGGCTGTTAAATGCATGTAGGTGTTAATTAGGCACAGGAAATCACTTCTCGCTTGGATGCACACAGCTGTCGGACAAGGTACGGGTATCTTAGCCTGGAGCAGTTAAAGGGATTTAAACTATTTATTGACAACCTGAATATATAGATCCTTTTTAAAAACGAAAGTAGAGAAATACAAAGCACTGGTGACTTTAATTTAAAATCTGCCTATTTTAAAAATATTGTAAAGTTTACAGGTAGGAATAAGATGAAAATAATTCAGATGAATCAATAAAGATTAATTCATGTCATATACACTAAGGAACTGGCTATTAAAATTAGTCCGACCACCGTCCCCGCCCGCCTGAGAAACAGACCGCCTTGGGTGGTCGGAAGGGCGGGCTATAATTTCCAACCCTGTGACAATACGGATTTAGCTTGCACTGAGAATTTATCAATCATTATTTTTAATATATGGATTTATTTTTTTAATGTTTTTATTTTTGAAAGAGAGCTAATCATGCCAAAGTTTGTTTAAATTATTCATTTCTAATTTATATAAGAAATGGCAATTGGAGACTATGTCTCCATCTTCTTCTGCATATTTTGCAATTTTAGATTTTTTTAGGAACATTAAAAACATGAAAAATGGAACCTTTTCTCTATAGTAAACCTCCACTTTCCTTGATAAGCATTACCTTTACTTACTATTATCTTAGTAACTGGACATTTGTTCTTATGTGTTATATAAACAGCTACATCTTATCCACTATATAGAATAATACTGCATAATCCGACCCACAATTACTGTACTGTATACATACCATCAATTGCTGTAAATTCTAATAGTGAACTGTACTATATTTTCAAGATGGTACGTAACTGGATTATCACGGGCTTATTTTAAATCCGTGTTAGATACAATTAAGAGAAATACCGTTTTAAAAATGACAGCATTTCCTACATGTTATGTTCTATCTTATTATCATATCATGATTCAATGTTTTTATCTTGCCAAGAAAATGAGTTGTCCTAATCGAGGCTCTCATTTCCCTTACGTTCCTGAAACACAGTCGCATATGCAAGACACTCTTTCGATATCAAATATTCTCATTCTATTGCTTACATCATGATAACTGTCAAGATGAATGTGTACTAGCCAGTTACAACTTTCATCCAGTCCCGGAAATGCAAGTGTTTTTTTCTGCCGCCATTCGGATATCCCGGATGTGACAAGTGACGTAATATAAGATAAAGAAGTTACAGCTTAGTGGTTCAATATTGATTTGAAGTAGCTATTATTTACCCATCTTTTTGTATAAATTTGCTTATCTATGTTCAAAGAATACCCATAACAACTTTTGGCCACAGTTTCATATTTACCTCAGTACGCGTGCTTGGAAAATTCTACTTCCGGTTGGAGAGATCGGCGATTTTCCAATTTTTTCAGAGAGCGAAAAGAGATGATAACGTAACATCAAAAGAAGTAAAACGTAAGATATCTCGTACTGATATTTTAAAAGCTGTACTCTGAATTTATCAATTTTTTCCCGTCGGATATTCAAACTTTTTTCCTTGGGAAAAGATTTTTCAAACCGGTAGGCTTGGTACACATAAATTGATTCAGATTTCAGTGTGTATTGTATACTATGTGTAATGTGATGCTCTAGATTTTATACTTATAAGTATTTAATATTTTTTCTGGGAAATGAAACACGTATACTTAATTTTTAAATTCTTTAAAACATCGAAAACTGACATCTTGATGCTAAAAGGGAGACTGCTATAACACCTAGAATAGCTTCCGAGCTGTAGCGTTATGGTTTTATATTTTAGTCTTTGACCATAATGCTACAGATCCCATAATGCAAATATGGTGCAATTTACGGCTCAAGATTTTCTGCGAATGGCTGGGATGTATTTCCTCAGTTTCCAGCATTGATCAATCAACTAACTTTCAATTCCCTAACTCTAGATATATTCTATTACTAGTTAGAATAATCTAACTGTGTCTCGGGATGAGCCCCCACCACAGTTTGAATATGTACAATATACTTGCAATGTAGCAAATCAGAGCGGATCTGCTCCGAAATGATTTTGAAGTATACAAGAGGAGTTGCACTGAAAATAACTACCAAATTAATCATAACAAACCTTTTTGAGATTGTATATGCCTTTTAACCTAAAAAATAATCCATATAAAGACGAAAATTCAACTCATTTTCTCAACATTTTTTTCTCGCTTCAAATTTACGTGCCATGTTGACATTCGGAACTCTCTGGATTGATCGTAGTAAATGCAGTGAGTTAGAGTTATCGCCCTTGTTTATTTTGCTACATTGCCAATACATGGAACAAATTTTATCATTTAACTGGGTCCATAGGACAATATCATCTTAAGGTCAAGATCTAGTGAATGAAAAGTGCCCACAGATTTCTCAGATTTGAGATACACATTCTTTTAATGATCCTTTACAAATATAGCTTGGTAGAATAAGGTGTATCCGGACATAATTTGGGGGTAAACTCATCGGAAAAACATTATAAACTGCCCATTTTCAATGAAAAATGAAGAAAGTCTGGTATAAATATGGGAGTTTATTCCATCTCAGACAAAGGAAATGTATCAATATTGCCCACAGTCTCTCAGAAAACGGTTTTTCATATCTTCTTGGTCTCTACTTTAAAATGATATTAAACGGAATAAGGGTATCGGTGTTACATTTGGCATGATTTCAAATTTAATTCCATGAAAGTGCTTTATTTTCTACATAATTCTACTGAAGCCGTAAAGTACGGGAAAAATTAAGCTTAAATCAATTATGACGTCATAATGAATCTGGCACCAAGAAGAAAGTCTAAACTCATTTACTAGATCTTGACCTTAACAATAGAACACTCTATCTATTCTGTTACCAACTTGTATATTTTATATACCTCCTAACCCTTTATGGTTATCTGTGCAGATCAGTAAACTTGTTTTTCTAGTCATCTCTACAGACTGTGTGGATTTTATGCCATCCAACAACAAATTCACAAAAAGTGAGTTTATTGGTCTGTAGAGAGGACTAGAAAGAGTTAGGAGGTGGATAAAATATACAGCTTGGTTATAGAATATGCCTAGAATTAGGGAATGAAAGGTCATTGATTGGCCATGCTAGAAAGTGGCGAAATACATCCCCAAAGTGTGCAGAAAATCTTGTGTGGTAAATTGCACTGTATTTGCATTATGAGATCTGTAGCATTAAGGTCAAAGACTAAATATAAAACCATAACGCTACAGTTTTGCAGCTAGAAACCTGCTTGTTAATTATTCTTTAATAGAATTTATAAAATGCAAATTTTAAATGAAGAGCAATTAATTTACTACCTATTTCCATTAAAAACAGGTTTCTTTTTTGTTTTAAACTTTTGTTTGGTCATCGTGAGAAAGTAGTTTGAGCAGCCATGTGCAATTTATGGAGGATTGTGGGAACCAAGTTTACTGTGGAAAAAAGTCAGTTGTGTCAATTTGCACAGTCCAATATTTCTTTGTCCAGATGTTGATTTCAGAGATAACAGTGTGAGCAGCACTTCATGCTACAAGCTGTGTTTACTATTAAGGGAGTAATCATTTGATAAATGTATTGTACAGTTAATAAAATATTAATCTGCTTTTATATACATGTAAGTCATGGGATTCATTGTATAAAATAAAAAAAGCATTCTCTATAGGAAAGGATATTAAATTTAGTAAAAGTCTTTCTTATATTAATGGATTTAGTGTCATAATTGGTGTCACCACTGATGTTCAACAGAGAGAACATCATGTGTCCTGTAAAGATCAAGACATTAAGTTAGAGCAGGGTCACTTTCAGTTGATAGAACTGAACCATAAGATCAGATGAGACTTCAGACATTGATATGAAGAACAGAGGAATATTGATTTTGCACAATAAATGTGTTCTATGGGAAGCATCATTAATATCAGGGAATAGTGATATGACTATCAAAAGAACCCTAATATGATTTGGAATGTTAATTTGGTTGCACTTTGTAAAATAAACTCTTGAAAGTGATGGATTTATAATAATGATAATTATTATAGCCATCAGTTTGTAGTAGTTAGGTATCAGGTCTGGAAAAGGTTCCCCTTTTCTTTGTATGAGGTAAAAATTTCCCTGAATTTTAAAAACCAAAATACAAAGGAATTTATTTTTTTCATTCTCAAGAATTGCAGTAATGGACTTCAATGTTATTTACTTCATGATCCATGCTTTGCTTCAGCTATACATTAAAATGTAATGTTGAAAGCTCTAATGAATTGTACACCAAGGTTTGAACTAGATGTCCTTATACTGTTTGCAATTTCAATGATGTAAGCTATATTAGATATTTACACTGCTTATGCTAAAGTGATAAGGTCAACAATGCCCGAATCCAGTAACATTACAGATTACTACTGCAACAATGAGATATTCATGTAAAACAAGTTACAGTGAGTGCATGTGTAAGGCAAATTTAGTGAATGAGGTAGCAGTGTAGACTCTTTTTCTTTATTTACTGATTCAAAGCAGGAAGCTGTTATAGTCATAATTTAAATGAGTTGTTTACAACAGTTGTCCTTAACGTGTATCTGGTTGCAATGTTTGTAACATTGTAATAAAGACCAATAGAAAAAATATATATATATAAGGAAGTTAGTTCTACTGGATCTGGTAGGTAAACACTGTTTGTTATAGGGGTGGATCCAGATTTGTTATTTTTTTAGGGAAATATTAACAATGACTAAATATTTATGATGCTATAAATACACATCAGAGGTGTACTTGCAAATGAATAAGTTGTATGTATCAAAATTGTATTTCCCATATTTAAATTACATTGTAAACCTTGGTCCAGTGTAACAACACAATCCATATAACACAGTACCAGTAGTACATGTATGTATCAGTTGTTTAGTACCAGACATAACTGGTTCTACCAAGAGGAAGTCTGTAAGGTAGTTTAGAAGAATATATATATATATATATATATATATATATATATATATATATATATATATATATATATATATATATATATATATAGACAGATAACTAGACTCACACATGCCCAAACACACACAGCCCAAAAAAAATTTTCCCCCAGAATTTACTTGTATCTTTAGTGACATTTTGTGGAGTCGTATTTACCAGGATGATATATATTGGTATTTACCAGTGGAAATTCCCTTCATAGCATTCCCTGACCAAGCATGTCTTAGTTTAATATATTTATCATTTCTTAAGAAAAAGATCAGAATAGCTTTTTTTTTGTAAAGTACAAAGTTTGTAAAAATAACATAAAAACACATTGGTATGCCAAATACAACCACAGTATTTATTTTCATTTAACCAATGACTATCTTTTTATTACTGTAATCTAATAATCTAATGATGATGATATGGTGATGTTGACTTTTCTATTTTGGACAGACTGAGGATGTCGGTTGACAGTGGAGAAAGCAAGAAGAATGTTAAGAAAACCCCTAATGACTTTATATTTGGGAAGGTCATTGGAGAGGGGTCCTACTCAACCGTAAGTACATTGGTACAAAGTTTATTGGGGAGTAGTTATTAAAGCAGAGTTCAAGTGTTATGTTAGTCCTAAAGAAATTGTAGGTTGATATGAAAAAACTGCAACTTTCTTCAAAAAAAGAGAGTCAATTTTTTTTAAATTTTGGGAGTTCATGTGTAAAGATTAAATTCATGTGTACATGTATTGATACTGAACATAACTTGTGTTTTCTTATATTGTGTGAAATGTTTAGATAGAATCAATTATTTATTCCCATCAAATTTAGTGTAGTACATGCATTACTTTTATAGTGGAATACCTCTATAATAGTGGTAATTAGGTCTAACTTTTGGGCAGTTGATTAAAATGTATGGCAATCTCTTGCTTGTTTAAATAACAAAAGGTACATCATAATCATGATGATTGTGATTCTAGCTAAACAAGTTCGTAACCAGGGTCTTAAGGGGAAAAAGAACAAAAAAATGGTCCAAATAGATGAGGAAAAATGGTCACCATGATATTACGTGAAATTTAATGACCGCTAACCGCGTTATGCAGGTGACCACTTACCGGCAATAGAGTTACATTCTTTTTTGCCACATTAATTATGATCTTTCAAAGTTTATGTGCTGTCAATAACTTGAGAAACTTGACAGGCAACATTCAAGCTTGAATAGAATGTTCCCTTTGCTTTAGAGGTGTATCAGGAACATTCCTGAAGGTCGTGTCTCGGACTACATGGAACTTGGCCATGAGATGTTGATGTTCTATATTACTGATTATGACCTTATCATCCTTGGCTCATGAATGTGATTTATGTTCACTCAAGGTCATATCTTACTGGTGAAGGTCACAGGGCAATGATTAAATGAAACCGTTTAGAACCCAAGATTGAAATGAATTTTAACTTCACATATACTGTAAACATACTTATAGGGCATTTGGCACCGTTTTCATTAATTCAAAAAACACAGAAATATATGATTTAAATAAAAACGTAGAGAAACTCTGTCATATAATTTATGATTATAGCAAGGAGGTGGATACTGAGTGTGCTAATTTATATGTGTAATTTACAAAGTTTGTCATTCATTTGTGTCAAAACTTTACTCGTGGTCTGAACTTTGACAAGTTAGAGGTCAATGTCATTATCTTAAGGTTCATTGATACTCTGATAAGAGAGATAACTCTTAATGACATAAATTCTATTATTTCTTTATAGATTTGTCAAGTTGAAATGTTTTTTGTTGTTGTTTTTTTTTCTTTAATTTTGCCTTGCAAGCTTTGATATAATTGTTTGTATTTTACTTATAAAATACATTTCTTTTGGAAAATCATAAAAGTTAAAGCAATATGTAATATGAGTGCAGAGGGTTTATGAACCTTAAGAGATTGTGACAAAAATCTTAATATGTTTAGATTTATTTAGAATTGTCAGATTTGTTACTAAAAAAATAAATGTTTTCTTTAAATTTGCAGGTGTATTTGGCAAAAGAAGTTGACAATAATACAGAGTATGCCAGTAAGTTTCTGAAAGACATGAGACTACTTCAGTCTATTTCCAAAAGTACTTACTCAAAAGTGCAAACTAAAGTGGAGGAGAAAACAGGGTTGGCAAAAAAGCAGAAAATACTCATATTTCCCAGGACAGTGGGAAATACTGGTAATTCCCGGGAATTACTGGTATTTCCCGTTAAATACTGGGAAATAAGAAATAGTGACAAATATAGCTACATATTTCATAATTTTGAAATATTTGTCAGAGTATAGACATGTAGTACACCTTATTGGCTAAGATATCTTACTGGTATCACTGTCCCTGATTTAAAAATTTCTGGTTTCTTAATAATTCAAATTTAATAATCTGAACACAGTATACTCATATACCAGCTGTGAGTGTCATTTATTTCATACTTGAGTCAGCTGTAGTCTATAAAGGTCCATGAAATGAACCCAAAGATCCCATTTGGGTTTTTTATCTAACTAAAGAAGGATCAAAGAAAATTGTTAAATGTAGAATATCATGAATAGGGTGTAAATATCAAACCCAAAAGTAAAAAGAAGCCTTTTCAGTTCTACTCAAGGTAATTATCTCTCAAAACAGGAATACAAAACTGTCCAGAGCAATTTGTTAAAACAACATGATTGATTGTAACAACTATAAGGTGTTTATAGAAGGATTAAAACAAATTAATTTTTTCTTGATTTATAATTGATAAACATAATAATTTAATAAAGCTGAAAAGAAACTTGAATTTGAAAACTTAAGTGATGTTCTTAAAATACAGCCAGGGAAACATGTTCTGCTAATGAATGCTTATGGGTAGGGGACCTGGAGTAGTGGTACACTCTGTTTGAGACATATTCAATAACATTTTTCTTTTTTATGTTTATTTTATTTCTGAATTTTGTATAAGATTGAATGAATTATAGAAGTAAGAAACTTTAACTTTGTATTTCCCAGTATTTCCCAATATTTCCCAGTTTAGAGAAAATTTGTAGTATTTACCGGGACAGGAAATACCGGTATTTACCACTGGTAATTCTCACCACTGGTATTTCCCGGCCAACCCTGGGAGAAAAAGTAGGCAAAGAGGGACTTGATAGTACCTTTACCCAACTTCTCATAGTATGGTATATGTACATCAAATCTTCACAACACCTTATTTTCACAAGATAATTATTTGAAATATATTAGACAGAATTTTCATGAATTTCAATAATTGTTGCACCAGTTTATAAATAATATAAATGTATGTAAGAATGAAATTTTCACTAGCAGATGTCTTGTGTAATATGCATAAAAAAGTTCCTATGAATAAAAAGTGATTTACAATACTTTTAAGAAAATATTTTGTGACATTTTGATTGGGGGAGAAAAATTGAGTTCAGGGAGGTTTTTAATGGAAGTAAGATCACTTTTATTCCTGTTTTTGATCAAATACAAAATGTTAGTGCCCCCTTTTCCTCATGATATTGGTTGCATGTGTAAAATTGGTTTTGATCTTGAAAGAGAAAAGGAGGCAATACAAAAATGATCCATATTTTTTTTTATTTCTTTAATTTCTCTGAAGTAAGTTTTTTTTTCTTCTTGAAACAATTTCAACACTTTTTTTCATCTAACATAATAATTTCTACTGATACCAACAGCAAATGCTAAAGATTCTGAAATATTTTCTTCTTTTACCATTTGTGTTTTATCACACCTGTGCAGTTGTTCTTTATTATGTTATGAAACACCTAGAATGATTCTGATTGGCTGCTTTACTCTGCACGTTTCAAAGTAACCTTAAAGGCCGAGGTTTTCAACCGGTCGGTTTTCCTCAGGTAAATTTGGTGTGGGTGGAGCTTAATTGAAATGGCTGAGAAGCCCCGAGGGAACCAAGCTGGCTTGTGTATACCTACCAATATACACAGGATGTTACCTGTATATTACCTGTAAATGTTTTCCTCAGACATTGTTTAACTTCGCGTGTTGGTCAATCGAAATGTTGATAGTCAAATTTCTGAAATAAAACATGCTAATTTTTTTTTTTATGTATACTGATTCCTTTAATTCAATTCTTTTTAGCTCACCTGAGCCGAAGGCTCAAGTGAGCTTTTCTGATCACATTTTGTCCGTCGTCCGTCCGTCCGTCTGTCCGTCTGTCTGTCTGTCTGTCCGTCCGTCTGTAAACTTTTCACATTTTTGACTTCTTCTCAAGAACCACTGGGCCAATTTTGACCAAACTTGGTACAAAGCATCCTTGGGTGAAGGGGAATTTAAATTGTTAAAATAAAGGGCCAAGTCCCCTTACAAGGGGAGATAATCAAGAAAAGACAAAAATAGGGTGGGGTCATTAAAAAATCTTCTTCTCAAGAACCACTGGGCCAAAAAAGCTGAAACTTATGTGGAAGCATCCTGGGATAGTGTAGATTGTAAATTGTTAAAATCATGACCCCTGGGGGTAGGGCGGGGCCGCAACAGGGAATCCAAGTTTTACATTGAAATATGTAAGAAAAATCTTTAAAAATCTTCTTCTCAAGAACCACTAGGCCAGAAAAGCTGAAACTTATGTGGAAGCATCCTGGGGTAGTGGAGATTCTAAATTGTTAAAATCATGACCCCCAGGGGTAGGGCGGGGCCACAATAGGGAATCCAAGTTTAACATTGAAATATGTAAGAAAAATCTTTAAAAATCTTCTTCTCAAGAACCACTGGGCAAGAAAACCTGAAACTTATGTGGAAGCATCCTGGGGTAGTGGAGATTCTAAATTGTTAAAATCATGACCCCCGGGGGTAGGGCGGGGCCACAATAGGGAATCCAAGTTTTACATTGAAATATATAAGAAAAATCTTTAAAAATCTTCTTCTCAAGAACCACTGGGCAAGAAAAGCTGAAACTTATGTGGAAGCATCCTGGGGTAGTGTAGATTCTAAATTGTTAAAATCACGACCCCCGGGGGTAGGGCGGGGCCATAATAGGGAATCCAAGTTTTACATTGAAATATGTAAGAAAAATCTTTAAAAATCTTCTTCTCAAGAACCACTGGGCAAGAAAAGCTGAAACTTATGTGGAAGCATCCTGGGGTAGTGGAGATTGTAAATTGTTAAAATCATGACCCCCGGGGATAGGGCAGGGCCACAATAGGGAATCCAAGTTTAACATTGAAATATGTAAGAAAAATCTTTAAAAATCTTCTTCTCAAGAACAACTGGGCCAGAAAAACTGAAACTTATGTGAAAGCATCCTGGGGTAGTGGAGATGCTAAATTGTAAAAATTATGACCCCTGGGGGTAGGGCGGGGCCACAATAAGTATTACAAGTTTTACATTGAAATATGTAAGAAAAATCTTTAAAAATCTTCTTCTCAAGAACAACTGGGCCAGAAAAACTGAAACTTATGTGGAAGCATCCTGGGATAGTGTAGATTTTAAATTCTTAAAATCATGACCCCTGGGGGTAGGGCGGGGCCACAATAAGTATTACAAGGGGGAAATCTGGTAAAGAACAGCATGGCCAAAGTTACTCAGGTGAGCGATGTGGCCCATGGGCCTCTTGTTTAAAAATATGTTTGAATAAAGGAGACAATTTTAGTTTAATTTTGTGCATTAATAGATTTCAAATCTTGGGTTGCACGCTGGCGACACTGAGAACTTAGAAATCCTGTTTGAAGTCTAAATTTTGTAGAAAATATATAATAAATTAGATAAATCTTTTTAATATAATTCCTATGTTTCGTAAAAATGGTCATGGCATCCGCGTATTGTTTCTCCGACAGGTAGACGAAACAGGAATATAATCACTTTATCCTACTTTTTTCATAGGGATCCATAATTCTAAACATAACTTGTATATATATGCTATGACAGCTTTTATAATACTGCTTATTTCTCTTTAAAACTGGTTATTTTACCGTAACTTTCATCACCATGTCTCGAAGAAATATTACACGTCTTAAAATTTTTAACTTGGACAATATGACTATCTCATAATTATAAAAAAGGAATTATTATTTAATTAAATTACACGATGCTTACAATGCAGTTCAGTATTTTCTGTTTTAAGTAAAATCAATGTACGTGTAAATTTGGATAATCTATACCGCATTATAGATTGTATAGTGAAATGACCCCCCCCCCCCCCTTTCTTAATTACAATTTAAATAGATACATGACTGATTTTCTTTTTCATTTATTTAATTATTTGACAGACTGATTAAATATAAATTATATATGGCTAATTACTTTATCATAAAGTAAAAAAAAATAATGTCAGCTCTGGCTGCTTCTTTATCACGATGTATGCGGTAGGCATCAAAGACTGAATGTTAATTCAATGATCGGTACGATCCCCTACCAAGGTATACAAGATATACACAACAGCAGGTAACAAAATGTCAATCAAATTTCAGTATCCAATCTCAGGCTTAATTTCATCTGATTGACAGGGGTTCACAGACCAGGTAAAATTGAGGGTGGTGCTTATTTCCTCCCCCTTTAAGTGTACAAGTCCATGTTTGTGTAATGGAAACAACAGGTACCATAACCAGTGAGAGTTAGTAAGTGGTTCGCTCTATTCCTTGTTCCTTAATTTTTGTAACTTTAAAAAGACATTTGGCAAGCCTCGTGTCTCTTGAGAATAAAAAAATAAGGAACTAGAGTTTGAAAAAAAACGATTACTAACTGTCACTGGTTATGGGACCTTTATTTCTCCAAACAATGCCACATTTTAATGAAGATACAATTTCTCAAATCATTATAAAAGTTTATCGTGTTTTGATGTAAATTCCACATTTTGGAAGTTGTAAAATTACAGTTTTATTGTTATTTAGTTAAGGTGCTGGAGAAGAGACACATTATGGCAGTTGTTGATTTCTTGTTATTTAGTTAAGGTGCTGGAGAAGAGACACATTATGGCAGTTGTTGATTTCTTGTTATTTAGTTAAGGTGCTGGAGAAGAGACACATTATGGCAGTTGTTAATTTATTCTTATTTAGTTAAGGTGCTGGAGAAGAGACATTATGGCAGTTGTTGATTTATTCTTATTTAGTTAAGGTGCTGGAGAAGAGACACATTATGGCAGTTGTTAATTTATTCTTATTTAGTTAAGGTGCTGGAGAAGAGACACATTATGGCAGTTTTTGATTTCTTGTTATTTAGTTAAGGTGCTGGAGAAGAGACACATTATGGCAGTTGTTAATTTATTCTTATTTAGTTAAGGTGCTGGAGAAGAGACACATTATGGCGGTTGTTAATTTCTTGTTATTTACTTAAGGTGCTGGAGAAGAGACACATTATGGCAGTTGTTGATTTAGTGTTATTTAGTTAAGGTGCTGGAGAAGAGACACATTATGGCAGTTGTTTATTTCTTGTTATTTAGTTAGAGAAGAGACACATTATGACAGTTGTTGATTTCTTGTTATTTAGTTAAGGTGCTGGAGAAGAGACACATTATGGCAGTTGTTGATTTATTGTTATTTACTTAAGGTGCTGGAGAAGAGACACATTATGGCAGTTGTTTATTTATTGTTATTTAGTTAAGGTGCTGGAGAAGAGACACATTATGGCAGTTGTTGATTTACAGTTTTGTTGTTATTTAGTTAAGGTGCTGGAGAAGAGACACATTATGGCAGTTGTTGATTTACAGTTTTGTTGTTATTTAGTTAAGGTGCTGGAGAAGAGACACATTATGGCGGTAACAGTTGTTGATTTATTGTTATTTAGTTAAGGTGCTGGAGAAGAGACACATTATGCGGGAGAGGAAGACGCAGTATGTAATGAGGGAGAAGGAAGTCCTGATGAAGCTGAATCACCCGTTCTTTATCCGACTCTTCTACACCTTCCAGGACTCCGACAGGCTCTGTATCCTTCTGTATAGCAAGAGCTTAATGTGCTCATCTTCAAGTTGTAAATGAAAAACATTGTGTGTTTAGTAGGTTTTTTTTTAACCAAATCTGTCATTTAATTTACTTTATCAGTGTTCATTGTAATACAAGTTAGATTTGTCACCATTGAAGCTGCATATTGATAGTAGACTGTAGTGGATTATAAAGAATTTTAAGTTTATAGAGCTTGATGTTTTGTGATTGCTATCCTATACCTAAAGATTTTGTATTGAGCTATGCCAGGAGGGGAGAATTGTTGGATTATATACACAAATTATCTTCCTTTGATGAACCATGCACCAAGTGGTATACAGCTGAGATTGTCACAGCATTGGAATATCTTCACAGCAAGGGAATCATACACAGGTCAGTGTTCAACTTGGCTCAAGGCACTCCCTACATCTACATAAAAGCTCATCTAGGTCAGTCTTAGACTTTCATGAAGAGTTAGAATACCTATAATAAATGTGATAAAACCAAGGGAATGATCTTGTGTACCATAAAATGAAAATGTTCTTATGATAAAATTCTTCAAGTTTACGTGTATTGCAAGCTGTGCTTTCATTGGATTAAATATCAGTAGCCAGGGAAGAAAGGAGCATTTTTTAACTCGCCTCAAAGAAGTTGGGGGAGCTTATGTGATACCCTCGGCGTCGGCGTCCCAGGTTAAGGTTTTTGGAGCAGTTTTCTTTTCGAGTACTTCTTTGGCCTATATTAGTCAGAGATGCATGGAGGATGCTTCTAGTGTGTTTCATTGTACCAGTCAAGGTTTCAGATGCTGCAATTTCAGCTAAAGAATGACCAGGTTAATGTTTTTGGAGCAGGTTAAAGTTTTTTTAGCAGGTTAAAGTTTTTGGAGCAGGTCTCATTTCCAAGTAACTATAAGCCCTATATTGACCAAACTTGCATGGATGATACATCTAAGGATGCACACTACTGAACTTGTTTCGGATGCTGGATCTGACCTACATTTTCCGGATGAGTAACCAGGTTAAAGTTTTTGGAGCTGATCTCATTTCCAAGTAACTATAAGCCCTATACTGACCAAACTTGCATGGATGATACATCTAAGGATGCACACTACTGAACTTGTTTCGGATGCTGAATCTGACCTACATTTTCAGGATGAGTGACCAGGTTAAAGTTTTTGGAGCAGATGTCATTTCCAAGTAACTATAAACCCTATATTGACCAAACTTGCATGGATGATACATCTAAGGATTCACACTACTGGACTTGCTTCAGATGCTAGATCTGACCTACATTTTCCGGATGAGTAACCAGGTTAAAGTTTTTGGAGCAGATCTCATTTCCAAGTAAGGCCTATCTGAACCAAACTTGCATGGATGATGCATCAAGGGACGAACAATCTTAAACTTGCTTCGAAGCTGGATTTGACTTACATTTTCTGGATGAGTGACTAGTTTTAAGTTTTCAGATAAGTCTATACCCAAGTAACTGCAAGCCCTATCAGACCAAAATTGCATAAATGTTGCATCTAGGGATGCACACTCCAAGGTTATTAGTTTAGTGTGGGACTTTGCCTTACTTAAAGACAACATTCGTTGAGGTGAGCTCTGTAATCTCTGATTACCTATGTTTTAATATCTTTTAAAATATTTCAGAGACTTAAAACCAGAAAACATCCTCCTAAATGATGAAATGCACATACAGATAACGGATTTTGGCAGCGCTAAAATACTGAAAGACGCTAAAGTGGAAGAAGGTGAGAAAAAAAAAAACATGCATTATAAATTTTAGTGCAAAATCCCTTTATGGGAAAATTTTGTCTGTTTATACTGTCACCCTTAATTTTATATCCTTCAGAATGCTGAACTGTCAGATTTCTAGTTTCATTTTGTTTAAGATAAGTATATATTAGGAATCCTCCTTCTGTTACAGCTTCAGCCAGTGGTAGAACCAATTCTTTTGTTGGTACAGCTCAGTATGTGTCTCCTGAGGTCCTTACCAGCAAAAAGGCATACTACAGGTAAGAAAAAACCGCTGTCCTTACCTCATAAAAACTACAATCTAAAAAATATACTGGTACTTGCTCTCTGCATGTGAAATCTTTTGCAATGAATTTCTTAAGAGAACATCCATCTAAGCAAGGTCTTATACAGTATACAAACAATTCACTGATGTTAACAAGGCTACATTGCTTTGATTATAGTGGTCAGAAAGCTCCTTTTTAGGTTGTATCTGTTAGTCCTGAATCATCACTCTGCCCAATAACAGTACACAACTTTCTTTTAACAGTTCTGACCTATGGGCATTAGGTTGTATTGTGTATCAGCTAATGGCAGGACTGCCCCCATTTAGAGGAGGGTAAGTGTAAAATGTCTTTATTTATTTTTTTTGTGAAGTAGATTTAATTCAAATTTGTTAGGATTGGATATGATTATTTCACTCATTGTGGAATGCTTTTAATTTAGACATGAGTACCAGATATTCCAGAAAATCACCAAACTTGAGTACGAGTTTCCAGATGGCTTTAATGTTGTAGCACAGGACTTGGTGGAGAAACTTTTAGTGCTAGATCCTGAACAACGATTAGGTTGTGAGGAAATGGGTGGCTTTGAGAAGTTAAAATCACATCCATTTTATGAAGGCATTGACTTTGAACACATTCATGAACGGAAGCCACCACCTTTATTACCATATCTCCCCGCCACCTCCACAAATTCCGAAAACCTCTGGAGTAGCTATAGGGTATGATGGTACCTTTATCTAATCTATAATAATACTTTTATCTTAACCTTTGATAGTACTTTTAATCTTTGATAGTACTTTTATATTTATCAAAGATGTCTTTAGAATTTACCTTTTCTGTTCACTACTTTTAAAATGATTTACAAGGAAATACTGAATAGAATTTGTTAAGTTTGTTACTGAAAGCAAAATTTATTTTGAAAGTAAAAGCAACTTGGAACAGAGGAGTTGGTTAAAAGAGTTTTGTTCAAAAGATAAAATAGCAACCATTACTAAAACACAATAGATTTACAGTGTTTGGTATTCTCTTCACCAACCTAAAAAATCAACAGCCCCATTCCCCAGTAGGAAATGGTATACTGTATTTGATGTTGTAGAAAATATGGTTCATAATAGATATAAAGCAATCCTTTACTCAATCTAGTGCATTATGTTCAAAATACTATAAAAACAGAATTCCCAAAATACTATAAAAACAGAATTCCCAAAATACTATAAAAACAGAATTCCCAAAATACTATAAAAACAGAATTCCAAAAATACTATAAAAACAGAATTCCCAAAATACTATAAAAACAGAATTCCCAAAATACTATAAAAACAGAATTCCCAAAATACTATAAAAACAGAATTCCCAAAATACTATAAAAACAGAATTCCCAAAATACTATAAAAACAGAATTCCCAAAATACTATAAAAACAGAATTCCCAAAATACTATAAAAACAGAATTCCCAAATACTATAAAAACAGAATTCCCAAATACTATAAAAACAGAATTCCCAAAATACTATAAAAACAGAATTCCCAAAATACTATAAAAACAGAATTCCCAAAATACTATAAAAACAGAATTCCCAAAATACTATAAAAACAGAATTCCCAAAATACTATAAAAACAGAATTCCCAAAATACTATAAAAACAGAATTCCCAAAATACGATAAAAACAGAATTCCCAAAATACTATAAAAACAGAATTCCCAAAATACTATAAAAACAGAATTCCCAAAATACTATAAAAACAGAATTCCCAAAATACTATAAAAACAGAATTCCCAAAATACTATAAAAACAGAATTCCCAAAATACTATAAAAACAGAATTCCCAAAATACTATAAAAACAGAATTCCCAAAATACTATAAAAACAGAATTCCCAAAATACTATAAAAACAGAATTCCCAAAATACTATAAAAACAGAATTCCCAAAATAAATTCTGTATTTTATTATGAACTGCTTTATTTTAAAACAGGCTGGGTTTGATGATGCAAGAGTTGTAGAAATAATCACTCAGACAGTGTAAGTAGAAGAGGTCACATTCCAATTACAGTCAAACCTCATTATCTGGACTTAATTGGACCAAGAAAAAAAAACTTTAAGATATTTGAAGGTTCAAGATACTGAGGTTAAAATACAGTAAGAAAATAATGATTGGGACTTTCAAATCACTTTGATATATCCATGGTATTTGAGATATTGAAGTTCGAGATACTGAGGTTCAATTGTACTGTGTGTTGCAGAAAGTTTACATAATTGGATACAGCTGTTCTATTTTGACATAGGATATAACTAGTCCTCTACTGTAGATTAAACTAGGCAGATGGCTTTGTTGTTTTTTTCCTACAGAATTACTGATGATGAGAGGAAGAAAAGGCTTGAGGAGCAGAAACAGAATAAATATCACAAGTTTGTGGAGGGCAACTTAATCCTGAAGCAAGGACTGATAGATAAACGAAAGGTAATGTCACGGGACTGGGATATTCTAGATCTCCAGAAAAACATTTGCCTTGTCTGTTATTCAGGTGATACAATATGCCATAACATGTGTCTAACTTTTTATGTCCAGAAAATTTTACATGTAAATCATCTCTGTAGATTGTGCTGCATTAGTGGTATACCTGAAATTGATATTGATGTTGAGCATATTGGTTTTACAAAACAGTATGTTTTTGGATTTAGGGATTATTTGCCCGTAAGAGAATGTTGCTGTTAACGGAGGGACCACACTTGTACTATGTGGACACAGCCAATATGGTTCTTAAGGGACAAATTCCATGGTATGTAACTGAACAATATACATATTTTAAATTTATTTGGTCTGCTGCAAAAATATGTATCTTGCATACATGTACATGTTTTATCAAAAATGTTATTTGTGATACATCAGAAGCACTTTTTTTTCCATTTCACTTCTTTTTTTTTTTCTTCCAGTTAAACTTTAAATGTGTATACGGTCACATTTTTCAAAATTTTCTTAAATTATTTTTCAGTGAGTCATACATTTAGGTTCAAAAGCTGTCAAGTCATAAAGGGGAAACAAACAAAAAATAATTCCAGTATACCTAATAGACCTGATATGGAATTTTTAATCAAGTTTTCTGTAGTAGCTTATTTATTATTGGACTGTGGTTCCATTAATGTTGAAAGGATTCTTTGTCATACATGTGTACCGGGTAAATTCATACTTCAGACATTAACACACTGATACATTGAAAAAAGGAGTAAATTGTGAAAGATAAGTAAACATTGTGTAATGATTGCTTTATTCATAATTTTACAGGTCAGCAGAATTAAGGCCAGAGGCAAAGAATTTTAAAACTTTTTTTGTTCATACGGTAAGATATGTTGCATCAAATTCATTATAGACAATGAAATAGCTGATTATTTTTCTATCTATTGAGGCACAGTTATACAGTCTCAGTTTGATTAAAATTCTCATTAACCCGAATGCCAAAGCAAACTAAAATAGGTAACCATGTCTTGGGGTAGGGTTAAGTGTGAATTCCAGCACAAAAAATAGACAGACTAATGTATACATGTATTATTTACATCCACAAAACATAAGTATGTAAGATCCATGTGGCATGATATTAAGAGGCAGAAATATTCATTGGGATCAAAATTCATGGAAAAGATTCTTTTGTGAAATAAAAATGATTTTTTTTACCTTGAACATGAAATACACAATATTAATCTTCATTACTTATTGGCAGAAAACCCCTAAATTAAGTCATCAAAAAACCTTTTCAATATGAATCCTGGAAATGAAAATCCCTCTTCACTTGCCAAAATTTTAAGCTTAAATCTCATTTTATTTATCTTCACATTTAAGAAAAGATTGAATTTGTCAAGTAAAATGAAGTTTCTTCATAAGAGGCAATGAGGAACACTCCTTTTGACATTTATTTTTCTATTTTCAGCCAAACCGTACATACTACCTGGAGGACCGAGAGTCTCGAGCCCAGGACTGGGTTGCTAAAATCAACGAGGTGTGGCAGCAGTATTATGGCAACAAGGTCAAAAAGTGACAGACAGTTATAACAACCAGTCACTTACAAGGGGTGTGGCTTATTAAGTCTGATATGTTGGAGCCACTGACAAAAGGTTGTGGCTTATTTAGTCTGGTATGTTGGAGCCACTTACAAGAGGGTGTTGCCTATCTAGTCTGTTGTATTAGGATGTGCATGTCCCAGTAAGTGACCATCGCCATCCTCTGTACAGCAACCTAACCAGCTGGAGCAATTGGGAACATCCCAACACAAAATAGTACCTCTGTATTGGTCCCCTGCAGACCCAGCCCTCCACAGAAAGGTCAAATATTCTAACTCATTCCATGTGTTTTGAAAGTTCTTTTTTGCTTCGTATGAATTTTAATGGAATCTTTGTATTGGTTGGATTGTGGAATTGTGCAAGAGATATTTTTGGATGCATTAGTACTGTTATTGGAAATGATTTGCAAAGATTACTTCTGTAACTTTAAACTTGACTGATTATGAAATAATATATGGTGTAATAGTGGAGTAAGATGCAAAGATGGGAGGCAGTTAGAAAGTACTTTTTGCCCAAATGTTTTGGTACTTCAATCTATGAAAAGAAATTAATTGATTGTCAGACATGTTTGCTAAAATGCTTGATGTATTTTATTTACAAAATGTATAATTTTTTTTTAATTGGCAGAATTGGTGCCCTTTTTAACTTTCACTTTTATGCAAGAAAGAAAATTACATTATAAGGAGATTTCAGTGCACTTGATTTGACATTGCTATAAAGATTTTGGATATGTTAAAATTAGGAATAATGGTTGGATTAGTAGTATCATAGTTGTTCCTTATATTGATGGTTAATGTGCTTCATTTGGAGTAGAGGATAGGTGTAGTCCTAATGTGTGATTAAGAAGAAATCAAGAGTTTTATTATTAGTCATTGTTGCAGCATTAACATATACTCTGAGAGCATGTGTAATGCATTGATACACCAGACTGTGGTAAAGTGGAGCTTATATTATCTGCACTCAATATACAGTGGATACAAACTAATAACCAGTGGTAGTGGAGCAGCTCTTTTTCAAAGAGATCACAGATGTATTGCTAAGTTTTGTGTTTCATACATGTGTTTATCTGTGACGTGTTCTGCTGCACATGTATATACATTTATTTTATCATTTTTGAGAATTCAGACTGGAAGTAATTTTATTAATATGGCAATGAAGAGTTTTAAGTGATATAGTCTAAAACTCGATATATAACTCTGTAAAGTGTTTGGCATACATTGAATTTTTTTCCCTGGCATGATATGCCGATTTCGGAAGATGTAAAATTTGAAACCATAGATATCATGGGAAAAGGAGTCGATGAAAATGCTGTTTGGTGTCTTGAACATCTAAATCAAAATAATGTTAGAGTTTGAGCAGCTGTACAGAAATCGAAATTGATATCAATAGGATCTAAAAAAGGTTTTAATCAACACAACAGCATGCTTGTTCAAGTTTCAGCTTGTTCAGTGCATCTGTGTCACATGGTCAATCTGACAAGGTGTTTCAATTAAAGATATTCTGCCTACAAAGATATTCGTGAAATCTTTCTTTATCAACATGCACATGATTTGCATACTATCTTCTTTATCAACATGCACATGATTTGCATACTATCTTCTTTATTAACATGCACATGATTTGCATGCTATCTTAATTAAGAAATCAAAAAAGAGCTTATGTGATTCTTCATGCTTGTCTACAAATTAGAATTAGTAGAGCATTAGGATTATTACTTTGTTTGAATACTTTTTATGCGAGTTCATTAAGGAAAGAAAAAAAGAATAATGGTATTGTCATAAATTTTTTTGCTATGGATTAAAAACAGACGTAACTGTTTATTATGAACTGTACATGTGTGCATGAATTGATTAGTTCAGGTGTGGAAGGTTATTTGTAGTGTTCAGTTTACATGTATGTCATGAAAGAGCTTCCTTAACATTGATGATAAGAGATGCATTGTGTTAGGTATATTTGCATTATTTATTAAGTTTGTCCAAGACTTTGAATTTTATCTTCTTGTAAACTGTGATATATCTCAACATACAAATATACTGATCTTACTCCCACTCACAAATAAATTTGTTATCAAACGTTAGCCACTGTGTTGTTTCTTTGTAACCATGGTAACGGAAGTCTCTGATAACACTGTAGCCAAGAACATCTCCAATGAGGATGCATTGTGATCAGTAACACCCCCCCCCCCCTTTTTTTTTAAAATTCAAAAATATCACTTATGGGGACTGACAACTGACTTACAGTGTGTTAATTTAACTGATCTATCTACAGGGCATTGGAGATATGCAAAGTATACGTGGTAACACATAAGAAGCAAACAAAGTAATAAGAGATGCACGAGTGATAAAACATATACATGTAGTAAACAAACATACACAAAGAAAACAAACATTAACCCCCTGGAGAAAACTTGGGGGTTATTGGTTATAATATGAAACAAAATTCATTATTCATCTGTTTAAAGTAATGCTGTTTGATTTTGCTTATTCAAAAATTGAAAGAATGCAACCAGCAAGCACCAAAATGATACCAATTTATGGGGAAAAAAATCTGGTTCAGGAGAGAGGTACCCCTGGCAGATCTTCTCCTGCACCACTCTTTCCAGAAACCTGGTGATGGCTCTGGTAGCACTACAGGTTTTTCCCTAAGTGGGTGAGATAAGTTAAGCTTAGGACTAGAAGATCACTCAGTTTGAAAGAACTCCATTGTATGTGTCTTAATGTTTTTAAACTTGTACCAAGTTCTGCTGACATCAAACAAAATCTTAGAAGTAGCTTTTTAGCTCACCTGAGCCAAAGGCTCAAGTGAGCTTTTCTGATCAAAATTTGTCCGTTGTCTGTCGTTGGCGTCGTCGTTGTTGTAAACTTTTCACATTTTCATCTTCTCCAGAACCACTGGGCCAATTTCAACCAAACTTGCCACAAAGTATCCTTGGGTGAAGGGGATTCAAGTTTGTTCAAATGAAGGGCCACGCCCTCTTTCAAGGGGAGATAATTAAGAATTAGTGAAAAAATAAATGCATCATTTGAAAATCTTCTTCTCAAGAACCATAGGGCCAAGAAAGATGAAACTCATGTGGAAGCATCTTCAGGTAGTGTACATTCAAGTTTGTTCAAATCATGACCCCTGGGGGTAGGGCGGGGCCACAATGGAGGATCAAAGTTTTACATAGAAATATATAAGAAAAATCTTTAAAAATCTCATTCTCAAGAACAGCAAAGTCATGATGAGTCATATTTATATGGAAGCATCCTCAGGTAGTGTAGATTCAAGTTTGTTCAAGTCATGACCCCCGGGGGTAGGGCATGGCCACAATGGAGGATCAAAGTTTTACATAGAAATATATAGGAAAAATCTTTAAAAATCTTCTTCTCAGGAACAACAAAGTCATGATGAGTCATATTTATATGGAAGCATCCTCAGGTAGTGTAGATTCAAGTTTGTTCAAGTCATGACCCCCGGGGGTAGGGCGGGGCCACAATGGAGGATTAAAGTTTTACATAGAAATATATAGGAAAAATCTTTAAAAATCTTCTTCTCAAGAACAGCAAAGCCACGATGAGTCATATTTATACGGAAGCATCCTCAGGTAGTGTAGATTCTATTTTGTTCAAACCATGACCCCTGGGGGTAGGGCGTGGCCACAATGGAGGATCAAAGTTTTACATAGAAATATATAGGAAAAATCTTTAAACATCTTCTCAAGAACAGCAAAGCCACGATGAGTCATATTGATATGGAAGCATCCTCAGGTAGTGTAGATTCAAGTTTGTTCAAATCATGACCCCCGGGGGTAGGGCATGGCCACAATGGAGGATCAAAGTTTTACATAGAAATATATAGGAAAAATCTTTAAAAATCTTCTTCTCAAGAACAGCAAAGCCACGATGAGTCATATTGATATGGAAGCATCCTCAGGTAGTGTAGATTCTATTTTGTTCAAATCATGACCCCCGTGGGTAGGATGGGGCCACAATGGAGGATCAAAGTTTTACATAAAAATATATAGGAAAAACATTAAAAAATCTTCTTCTCAAGAACAGCAAAGTCATGATGAGTCATATTTATATGGAAGCATCTTCAGGTAGTGTAGATTCAAGTTTGTTCAAATCATGACCCCCGGGGGTAGGGCGTGGCCACATTAGAGGATCAAAGTTTTACATAGAAATATATAGGAAAAATCTTTAAAAATCTTCTTCTCAGGAACATTACAAAGTCATGATGAGTCATATTTATATGGAAGCATCCTCAGGTAGTGTAGATTCAAGTCTGTTTAAATCATGACCCCCGGGGGTAGGGCGGGGCCACAATGGAGGATCAAAGTTTTACATAGAAATATATAGGAAAAATCTTTAAAAATCTTCTTCTCAAGCACAGCAAAGCCATGATGAGTCATATTGATATGGAAGCATCCTCAGGTAGTGTAGATTCAAGTTTGTTCAAGTCATGACCCCCGGGGGTAGGGCATGGCCACAATGGAGGATCAAAGTTTTACATAGAAATATATAAGAAAAATCTTTAAAAATCTTCTTCTCAGGAACAACAAAGTCATGATGAGTCATATTTATATGGAAGCATCCTCAGGTAGTGTAGATTCAAGTTTGTTCAAATCATGACCCCCGGGGGTAGGGCGGGGCCACAATGGAGGATCAAAGTTTTACATAGAAATATATAGGAAAAATCTTTAAAAATCTTCTCAGGAACAGCAAAGCCACGATGAGTCGTATATATATGGAAGCATCCTCAGGTAGTGTAGATTCTATTTTGTTCAAACCATGACCCCTGGGGGTAGGGCGTGGCCACAATGGAGGATCAAAGTTTTACATAGAAATATATAGGAAAAATCTTTAAACATCTTCTCAAGAACAGCAAAGCCACGATGAGTCATATTGATATGGAAGCATCCTCAGGTAGTGTAGATTCAAGTTTGTTCAAATCATGACCCCCGGGGGTAGGGCGTGGCCACAATGGAGGATCAAAGTTTTACATAGAAATATATAGGAAAAATCTTTAAAAATCTTCTTCTCAAGAACAGCAAAGCCACGATGAGTCATATTGATATGGAAGCATCCTCAGGTAGTGTAGATTCTATTTTGTTCAAATCATGACCCCCGTGGGTAGGATGGGGCCACAATGGAGGATCAAAGTTTTACATAAAAATATATAGGAAAAACATTAAAAAATCTTCTTCTCAAGAACAGCAAAGTCATGATGAGTCATATTTATATGGAAGCATCTTCAGGTAGTGTAGATTCAAGTTTGTTCAAATCATGACCCCCGGGGGTAGGGCGTGGCCACATTAGAGGATCAAAGTTTTATATAGAAATATATAGGAAAAATCTTTAAAAATCTTCTTCTCAGGAACATTACAAAGTCATGATGAGTCATATTTATATGGAAGCATCCTCAGGTAGTGTACATTCAAGTTTGTTCAAATCATGACCCCCGGGGGTAGGGCGGGGCCACAATGGAGGATCAAAGTTTTACATAGAAATATATAGGAAAAATCTTTAAAAATCTTCTTCTCAAGCACAGCAAAGCCATGATGAGTCATATTGATATGGAAGCATCCTCAGGTAGTGTAGATTCAAGTTTGTTCAAATCATGACCCCCGGGGGTAGGGCATGGCCACAATGGAGGATCAAAGTTTTACATAGAAATTATAATATAGGAAAAATCTTTAAAAATCTTCTTCTCAGGAACAACAAAGTCATGATGAGTCATATTTATATGGAAGCATCCTCAGGTAGTGTAGATTCAAGTTTGTTCAAATCATGACCCCTGGGGGTAGGGCGGGGCCACAATGGAGGATCAAAGTTTTACATAGAAATATATAGGAAAAATCTTTAAACATCTTCTCAAGAACAGCAAAGCCACGATGAGTCGTATATATATGGAAGCATCCTCAGGTAGTGTAGATTCTATTTTGTTCAAACCATGACCCCCGGGGGTAGGGCGTGGCCACAATGGAGGATCAAAGTTTTACATAGAAATATATAGGAAAAATCTTTAAAAATCTTCTTCTCAAGAACAGCAAAGCCACGATGAGTCATATTGATATGGAAGCATCCTCAGGTAGTGTAGATTCTATTTTGTTCAAATCATGACCCCCGTGGGTAGGATGGGGCCACAATGGAGGATCAAAGTTTTACATAAAAATATATAGGAAAAATCTTTAAACATCTTCTCAAGAACAGCAAAGTCATGATGAGTCGTATATATATGGAAGCATCCTCAGGTAGTGTAGATTCTATTTTGTTCAAACCATGACCCCCGGGGGTAGGGCGTGGCCACAATGGAGGATCAAAGTTTTACATAGAAATATATAGGAAAAATCTTTAAAAATCTTCTTCTCAAGAACAGCAAAGCCACGATGAGTCATATTGATATGGAAGCATCCTCAGGTAGTGTAGATTCTATTTTGTTCAAATCATGACCCCCGTGGGTAGGATGGGGCCACAATGGAGGATCAAAGTTTTACATAAAAATATATAGGAAAAACATTAAAAAATCTTCTTCTCAAGAACAGCAAAGTCATGATGAGTCATATTTATATGGAAGCATCTTCAGGTAGTGTAGATTCAAGTTTGTTCAAATCATGACCCCCGGGGGTAGGGCGCGGCCACAATGGAGGATCAAAGTTTTATATAGAAATATATAGGAAAAATCTTTAAAAAATCTTCTTCTCAAGCACGGCAAAGCCATGATGAGTCATATTGATATGGAAGCATCCTCAGGTAGTGTAGATTCTATTTTGTTCAAACCATGACCCCTGGGGGTAGGGCGTGGCCACAATGGAGGATCAAAGTTTTACATAGAAATATATAGGAAAAATCTTCTTCTCAGGAACAGCAAAGCCCAGATTGTTCATATTTATATGGAAGCATCCTCAGGTAGGGTAGATTCAAATTTATTCAGATCATGACCCCCGGGGGTAGGATGGGGCCACAATGGAGGATCAAAGTTTTACATAGAAATGTATAGGAAAAATTATAAAAATCTTCTTCTCAGGAACAGCAAAGCCCTGATTGATCATATTTATGTGGAAGCATCCTCAGGTAGTGTAGATTCTATTTTGTTCAAATCATGACCCCTGTGGGTAGGATGGGGCCACAAAGTCTTAAATAGAAATATATAGGAAAATATCTTCTGAAGAGGAACTGCAAACCATGATTAGTCATTTTGATATGGAAGCATCCTCAGGTAGTGTAGATAAAATTTTGTTCAAATGATGACTCCCAGGGGTTGGGTGGGGCCCATTGGGGGATCGAAAGTTTTACATAAGAACATATAGAAACAAGATGTGTTTGTGAAACACTGATGCCCCCATATGGCAGCTTATGGCGAAGGTTAAAGTTTCTTCAAATGCAAGTCAAAATCCAGGCCAAAGATAAAAAATGTTGATACCCAAAGAAAGGTCTTGTCTCGAGGAATACACCTGTGAAATTTGAAAGACCTAGATACAACTGTTCAAAAGTTATGGCGAAGGTTAAAGTTTTTTAAATAAAAGTCAAATGTCAAGGTCAAGGTCAAAGTGGTTGGTATCCAAAGGAAGATCTTGTCACGAAGATTACATACGTGAAGTATGAAAGCCCTAGCACCAACCATTCAAAAGTTATGGCAAAGGTTAAAGTTTTTCAAAAGTAGGTCAAACTCCTAGGTCAAGGTCAAAGGGTCAAAGTGGTTGGTATCCAAAGGAAGGTCTTGTCACAAGGATTACATATGTGAAGTATGAAAGCCCTAGCACCAACCATTCAAAAGTTATGGCCAAGGTTAAAGTTTTTCAAAAGTAGGTCAAACTCCTAGGTCAAGGTCAAAAGGTCAAAGTGGTGGTTGGTATCCAAAGGAAGGTCTTGTCGCAAGGATTACATATGTGAAGTATGAAAGCCTTAGCTCCAACCATTCAAAAGTTATGGCCAAGGTTAAAGTTTTTCAAAAGTAGGTCAAACTCCTAGGTCAAGGTCAAAGGGTCAAAGTGGTTGATATCCAGAGAAAGGTCTTGTCACAAGGAATACACATGTGAAGTTTGAAATCCTAAGCACCAGCCATTCAAAAGTTATGGCCAAGGTTAAAGTTTTTCAAAAGTAGGTCAAACTCCTAGGTCAAGGTCAAAGGGTCAAAGTGGTTGATATCCAGAGAAAGGTCTTGTCACAAGGAATACACATGTGAAGTTTGAAATCCTAAGCACCAACTGTTCAAAAGTTATGGCCAAGGTTAAAGTCTCATAAAATTGTTGGTCAAACTCCAAGGTCAAGCACCAACTGTTCAAAAGTTATGGCCAAGGTTAAAGTCTCATAAAATTGTTGGTCAAACTCCAAGGTCAAGGTCAAAAGGTCAAATATGATGGTACCCAAAGAAAGGTCTTGTCACAAGGAATACACATGTGAAATATGAAAGTCATAGCTCCAACCCATCAAAAGTTATGGGCAAGGTTAAAGTTGACAACAGACAGACAGACAAATGGACAAACAGACAAACAGATAAACAGACAAACAGACAGACAGGACAAAAACAATATACCCCCGGGATCTTTCGATCCGGGGGCATAATAAAAATAATTCTTCTCAAGAACAGGAAAGCTATGTTTAGTCATATTGATATAGAAGCATCCTCAGGTAGTGTAGATTCAAGTTCAAATGATGACCCCTGGGATAGGGAGGAACCACAATGGGGGATCAAATTTTTACAAAGGAATATATGGGAAATTTTTTTTTAAATCTTCTCAAGTACACCCCCCCCCCCCCCATAGGAAACATAGGAAATTGTTTGAAAAAATCTTCTTCTCAAGAACAGCAAAGCCACGACTGGTCATATTTATATGGAAGCACCCTCAGATAGTGTAGAGTGTTTGTTCAAATCATGACCCCCAGGGTAGCACGGGACCACAATGAAAGTTCAAACTTCTAGGAAAAAACAAGAAACAAGTATGAAATTTCTGTATAAAGTTATAAGATAAGAAATTTACGGCACCAGAGCCCAAAAAGTTAAAATGGGAGATTTATTTAAATGAACCTATCACAGAAAAACACTGGAATTTTTCCCTTCGGAATGCATCCATATGCACAAAGGACACCAAAATAATTTACTTTCAATATAAAATTCTTAAGGGCTTCCTAGCCACAAATTCTTTTCTTCACAAGATAAAAATTGCTGAAAATAATGTTTGTTCTTTCTGTAAAACAGATCCAGAAACATTGATTCATCTTTTTTATGATTGTATACATGTAACCAGGTTTTGGAGAGATTTTGAAAACTGGTATCGTGCTATTGGAAATGATTATGTAATTTCAAAACAAAAGGTGATGCTTGGTAACATTGATGGAAGTTGTTTAGAAAAATTTTCTTATCTTGTTAGGAAAAAAGTACTTGTATCACTCAAGATCTCAATGTACAATACCTAAATTTACAGAAGCAATTAACATTTTTAAGTATTATAGAAAAATTGAAAAATGTTATGAAAGTAACTTTCACTGTAAAACTAAAATGTATAGTAAATGGGCAATGCTTGATTTGATTTGTTAATATAAGAAATTCTAATTAGTATAACTATAGCTGTAATATTGAACAGTTGGTTTTTGTTGGGGGGGAAAGGTGCACAGTGAGTGTGTGGATGTGTGTGGGTGTGTTTGTACATATATGTCTGTGTTGTTTGATCTTATGTATATGAAAACTTTTTCAAAAAATAAAGCATTAAAAAAAAAAAAGGAAAAAAGCCACAGTTAGTCAAAGAAATGTATAAGCATCCTTAGTTAGTGTACCGGTAGATTCAATTTTGTTCAAATCATACCCCCCCTCCCCTTTTAGGGGTAGGTCGGGACCACTTATGCATTTAAGCTTTTCAATACTGAACTGATTTTTTGCTTTTTTTATAGCCACAGTTCTCAGGTGAGCAATGTGGCCCATAGGCCTATTGTTAAAAAAAAATTATTAATTTTAACAAATCATTCATTTTAATTACCATGGAAACATCAATGGTCAAACTGCTCACTTTGAACAGTAAAGACTGCTCCCTCAATTTAACTATACAACCTTTTGACCTCCCCGCGTTGTGTTATGGTATTGTGAATGTCAAGGCTTTCAACACACTTTAGCAAAGTTCACGTAATGCATAATTATAATGGCCCTTTTGGTATACCAGTTAATAACTTTAGGCCAATTTTAGAAGAAGTCTAATGCTTTAGTTAATACTTATATAAAAAAAAAAATCCCTGAGCCTTGGCATAATAGAGATCAGGCTTTTAGAAATCATAATGTTCTGCAACTCTGCAGAAAAAATGATTTAATCAAGTGTATTCAATAAGGTTCATTGATGAATTTTTTTTATAAATACAAAGTGACGCAGTTGACATCACATACTTGGTACATTAAACTAGCAAGAAATTTTATGCAATTTTTATAAAGATTTGTTGTTACCATGAGTCCAATCATTATTAAACATGTCCAGCCAAGCTGAAAAGTTTTAATTTTTCCATTTCACAGGACCAAATAAGGTGAACCAGGAGATTAAAATTCTGTATCACCAAGGATGACGGTAAACATAATCCAACATCTTATGAATAACCAAAAAGCTCATTAAAACATTTATCACAAAGCTTATTAAAACAAGAATAAATATACATTCATAATTTAATCAGAATGTTTTCCAAATGGTCAGGTAAAGATATCATATATTATACAATGTGCTACTCAGATACAATAAAATACAAAGTCAATTATTTCTATGCATACGGACATTTATACACATGTCACAATGGGGTAAAAATGTGCTGCCAATCAAATCTGTACATCAGTCTCACATTTCAGGGTAACAATACTTTAAAAATTCATCACATTGAGAACTTTCACAAATTTCAAGAATTTCAGCTAGATTTTTGTTCATAATCTGGACTTATGCAACATGTGTACAGATGAACACTCAATATCAAGAGGAAGCCTAGCTTGTATAGTTCTATGTCCTAGTAAAGCTATCTGGGGGGAGGGGGGGGGTGTTAAAAGGTAGCATAGTCAAAGGGAGGCAACACAGACATGATATACAAACGGGGATAACACAATGTCCAGCATCATCCTGACAGAACATCAAAAGCTTCAAATCTACATCATGTCTGGGATTTGCATAGTTCCCAATTTTACAATACACTAACATGTAATTATGGTGTTAAATATCAATATACAACCTTCAATAATACTTATAAATACTGTATATGAAATAATTTATAAATATATAATGACACAGAATATTTAACCACAGTACAGTTCAAGCCTGCTTTAAGCTTCCATCTTTTACATCAGTTCTAAAGTCTGACCAGTGATCTAAATCAGGTGGGTTTGTATGCCATATAAATGTTGATAATACAAGAGAGTAGACTTATTATGGAGATGACAGTGACTTAATGTTGTCAAAAAAGGCACACACAACAGCAGAGACCATAGCCACATCACGTAACGATACACAATCGAATTGGTGTAAAAAAAATTAAATAAAAAGGAGGTTAGATTCTTACACCTGCATGAAAAAAACCTTGTTGACCCTCTTCAGAAGTCAAAAACTTTCATAGCGATTGAACATCCTATTTATCTTGCTAACATTTTCGTTGATTGTTAAATTTCTTGAACAAGCAAGAAATTTCTCAACAGACATATGCTGGTTTTCTTTTCACTATAATTTGCTTCAAAGCTTGGCAAATATATCTAAGTTAAGCCTATATATGAAATTAAAACTTGTCAAAATCAAAAATCTTTGGTATTTGCAAAACTGAGATACTGCTCTTCCTACAAGATGGAAGATAATCCTGACCTCTAGATGAGACATGTTTTAAAGTGTATAATTTTCATGGCAGCCATCTGGTCCAAATTATGAACAGTTCTGCATATACATAATCATACCTGTGCTTATTTAAGTACCTGGGAAATTTTGACAAATTTTTAATATTACAGAATACATGGAAACTGAAATTTTCAACCAATATCTCCATATTCTGAATATTCTAAGGCTACATTTCAGACTGTTTTTCAAGAGAACAAATATGGATCATAAAACTCAACTTTATCCAAGCTATACAATATCATTTGTCACAATGTAAAACTTGCAAAGTTAAAAAATAAACTTTCTTTGTGCAATTTTTTTAAAAAAAGGTTCAAAATGCTCTTAAACCATATCTACATAAGTAAAATAGAGCTATAGTAAATGAAAGGCATTTTTATCAAAGGTATATAATACAAGAAAAGGCTTCAAAATCCTTACAATGCCAAGAACCAGTCATAAAAGCACAAAAGGACCTCTGGTGTCTATAGGTAACAAATAATGGGCATATACTGTACCATGCATAACACCTACTGTCTATATATATCATATACTGACAACAATTCACGTATTACATACACAGAAAACTCTCCTAATGCTCTACCTGGGATAAGAGAATAATACATGTATATACCATAGACTGTTATTTATGTCCTAAATGAAAGCGATACCTTAAGTAAAATGAACGTATGAAATCAAAAGATGCCACAATGTAAGAACACTTCAGCTCATGTTGAATTTAGAAAAAAAACTGTCAAAAAAAATTTCCACCTAGACTGAGTTGCAATTGTTATGAACTAGGATCTGATCCAAAACTTGAGGTTAATTAAACTTTTTCAAACAAAAATCATATGACATAATTTTGAGATAAATCTACCTTATGTTATGCAACTCTTAACAAAGACTTGGAAAACATGCCTGGTATTGTAAACCACAGACAGTACGATGGTTATGTTCCTCTTATGTAACTGTAGATAAAAATCTCACACATAAAATTCTAAGTTCTGACTCAATAAAATAGGGCAGGTCTCCTGAACTGAGGTTTAAGGAGAAACTCTGGAATAAATTTTGGTAATTATTGCACCAAAGGGGAGGGGGATGTCTGGAGAGATGGGAGAGGTCTGGGGACAGGTGCCTTATGACTGTGACCCTGTCTGATGCGTTGGTCCGTGTGATGAGATGTCGACAGATTTACACTCGACTACATGTGGCGGTCTCACATCCGTGAACCTTTCTGTTGTAACACCTACAATTACACGAGATGCTATAATACTCAATATTTGTAGAAAAAAACAGTTATAATTTGTTCTTTGAATATATGCTGTTTTTATAAACATAATCAGATGTCTCTGATGAGACTGCAGCTCTCCTGGATTGAATTTACAGAAGTAAACATTACTCTAGGGCTTAATACTTGAGTTACAAGCTAGTAACCTTGGCTTTCTCTGAGGGTTCTGACTCCTGGCCATTGAGAATATTGGGACATTCTTTAGAGACTACACAAAGAAATTCAGCATGATCTTCACTTCCATAATTATACTGGGATCCAATGTTCACCAACTGAAAACAAAATAGTAAAGAATCAGTATTAAATTGTGTTTAGATATTGTTTTCCATCTGATTAGATATTGTTCTTGTTGTAACAAAGTTACTCATTAGTTTTTCAAACAATTTCACTTAAAAAAAAAAAAAACAGAAATACATGGTTACTTTTGATTCAATTAACCTAAAAGGTAGTAGTAATAATTTTTTTAGTTAACAATGTCAATTTTATTTTCTCATGTAACAGAAACTTGATTCCGTTGAACAGTCAAGAACATAACAGTAGATTAGAAAGCTTTTTACATTTTTACAAAAAAGAAAGCTTTTTACAAGTCTGAAGCCTATCTGTTCAAAGTTCATGTCATTAGAAAAAGAGAATGATCAGATCCTATCTAATAACAGGCGCAGATCCAGGAATTGAAGTTAGAAGGGGAGCAAAAAGTAGGCCGGGGGTCTGGGTCCAGGGCAAAGCCCTGGTGGTGGTGGGGGGGGGGGGGGATTTTGTAGGGTAAAAATGAGGTCTACCAATTAGACATTTTCACATTTTCTCTACAAAACTATGAATTACGGTAACTTTGACAATTTTTTTTGGGGGGGGGGGGGGGGGCGCTGGGTGCACCCACCCTTAAATCCGCCACTGAATAATCCTAAGCTTACTTCTTCAATGTTTCTGTTAACAACTCATAAGGCCCAAAAGCCCTGATGGTCACTGAGTATCATGAGTTTTCTACATATGATCAACCTACCCCATCTGAAACTCAAACTCTGAACGCAAGTGACATGAAAGTTATAAACTTGATACAGAATTTATTATTTATTGTCACAATTTAAAATTTACATTATGTGTACATTTTGTATTTAGGAGTAAAGATTTTAAATATATACTTCTAATGCATTTTTGCTATAAAATCAACCTAGTCCCATCTTTAAGGGCATGAAATGAAAAAGAATTTCACAATATTGGTTGTGGCACCATCTGTCTGCATCAAGGAATAATCAGAGAAATTTTGAAGATGTAATAAATTTCCTAAAAATGTTTAAATTTCTTTCCCTTGAGGTTTGACCCTTAGAAGATAATTCCCTCTTATGAACCCCATATTCCCTCTTATGAACCCCATTTTACCAGTTCAAACCTCCAGCTATCAACATAACTGTTTGACCATATTCCCTCCTATCTTTGTTAGCGTTGCTTAACAGTTAACAGTAACAGAAAATCAAAATTCAGAAAAAGATCCTACCAAAAACAATTTTTAAAAATTTGAATTTTATTATTTAAAGGAAACGCATTGCAATGCAAGTTTACAAGACAGTGGCATACATTTATGTACAAACGTAGCATCAAATTTTTTTTCAGGTAGTTCAACTTGCCAAATTCACAGTAGTGTATCTGGTCACATTTTTTCTTATCATAATATTTACCAGTTTACAGTAATAAATTAAGTTATAAATTTTTCATTCCTAATTTTAGGCAACCAAGTTTTGCATTCAGACAAGTCAAAGTTTGACTTCACTTGCCTGAAGGGCAAGTGAATCTGAAAGTTAATGTTTCTCCCTGCTATGATCCCCAGTTTACCTGATAAACTTCCTATTATGAACCCTAGCTTATCTGTTCAACTTCTAGCCATCAACATAGATCAGACTCTTATGAACTCCTACTTACCTGTTCAAACTTCCAGCCATCTGACATAGCTGAGACTATCTGAGTGAGTTCCTCTTCTGAACATTGTAGAACTCGGTACACACTTTTGGTGCTGGACTGAAATTAATCAAAGAATAAAATGAGGACACAAGATTCTAAATAAAATAAATAAGTCTTGTGAGGTAATTTGAAATATAAAATTTTGCAACATCTTAACAGAGTTACACTTTGACTTCTAAATCAAAGCTTCTTCTAAGGCAAGTGTATCTATATAAGTACATGTGCAATATATTTCTATTAGTATATTGGGTACTTAAAATGAAAAAAAATATATAATGTTTTTCCTTTTTAGTTCATTCATAAATAACATTTGACTTGACAAAGTCCTCTATGATGCACACTCATTTAGGGCCTTGCCTACTACCCTAAATGTATAGTATACTAAATAAATTATGGTTCAAATGAAATCAAACTATCTTTTGTTGGCTTCCAAATACAAAAAAAGAGGGCCAGGGGCCACATCACTCACCTGAGCACTTTTGCTAGGAAAAAGCAGAAGTCAGTTCAGTATTGAAAAGTTTAAATATAAAAGTGGCTTGGAAGGGGGGAGGGGGGGGGGGGACTTGAATCTACACTTCCTAAAGATACTTTTGAATTAATATGACACATAATGGCTTTGCTGTTCTTAAGAAGAATTTTTTTATTGACATATCTCTCTCATTCCTTTGTATAACTATGATACCCTGTTATGGACCCTTTATACTCTGGAACAAATTTGAATCTACATTACCTGAGGATGCTCTTATATTATTATGACTAATCATGGCTTTGCTTAGCTGCAATAATGTAGCCCTCTCCGATTTTTTTTTTTTAATCTGATATCCCCCCCCTCCCCCCCCCCCAAAAAAAAAAAAAATCGGAGAGGGCTACATTATTGCAGCTAGGCTTTGCTGTTCTTGAGCAGAAGATTTTTTCCTATATATTCCTGTGTGTAAGACTTTGATCACCCATTGTGGCCCCATCCTACCCCCTGGGGGTCATGATTTGAACAAACTATATTCCACACCACCTGAGGATGCTTCCATATAGATATGACTAATCTTAGCTTTGCTGTTCTTGAGAAGAAGATTTTTTTTCTATGTTTCCTATATAAAACTTTGATTGTCCATTGTGGCCCCACCCTACCCCTGGGGGTCATGATTTGAACAAAGTTTATTCCACACTACCTGAGGATGCTTCCATATAAATATGACTAATCATGGCTTTGCTGTTCTTGAGAAGAAGATTTTTAAAGATTTTTCCTTTGTATTCCTGAGTAAAACTTTGATCGCCCATTGTGACCCCACCCTACTTCCAGGGGTCATATAATTTAAACAACCTTGAATCTACACTACCTGAGGATGCTTCCACATAAGTTTCATATTTTCTAGTACAGTGGTTCTTGAGAAGAAGATTTTTAAATGATGCCATAAATTTTTCACAAATTCGTAATTATCTCCCCTTGGAATAAGGTGTGGCCCTTCATTTGAACAAACATGAATCCCCTTTATCCAAGGGTATTTTGTGGCAAGTTTGGTTGAAATTGGCCCAGTGGTTCTTGAGAAGATGAAAATGTGAAAAGTTTGCAACAACAACAATGACGACTACAACAGATAACAGACAAATTTCAATCAGAAAAGCTCACTTGAGCCTTCGACTCAGGTGAGCTAAAAATTAAAAATATTCAAGGACATCAGAGTCATCCATTTAAAAATCGTTCCTGAAGATTTTTTTTAATGGATGAACTCAGTATACATATATAAACCATAAGCCCATCCTTCCTTAAATTTTATTCTTGGATGCCAACAACAACAGGAAAAATTGGTCACCTGATTCTGTTTAGCATCCCTCTCTTTGATTTTTTCTTTAACGAGCTTTATTAAGTCTGTTATATTGTAGAATTCTGCCTCCTCTAACACACCTGAAATAAGAAGACAATTAAAGTGTAATACAAAGCCTGGTGAGACACATGGCTGCCTCAGCTAAGGAAAATCAGCTAGAAGTCATCAGCTGTTCTTTATGTGATTCTGGTGGAGTCGTTTGTAACATGATTATCTAAACAAACTCTGACACATAAGCAATACTACATATATCAATGCCTTTAATTCAAGAAGCAGAGAGATTTCTTCTCTCAATCCCATGGCATGTAATTACACAGGTAGATGATTGTATATAGTGTAATATGCCAAAATCAAAATCAAGTATAAATCACCAGAAAGGAATCTGATATTGAGTCCATTGTAAAGTCTAATCCAGGCCACTGCTCATCGTGTTAATGATGAAACAAGAGCTTATAAATCTATCATTTTTCATTGATTCCTCCGAGACTCCAAACCAGGTTATCAGTGAGCTTGTCCAAGATAGATCAAGGTTCGCGAAGGACTTATTCTGGCTTCAAAAAACAGTGTATATAAAGATATATCCAAATAAATCCATAAATATAGGATCCAACTCATTGTCTGTTTTCATCTCCTCACCAAGGCTTGGGAATAAAAACACAATACTGGTTGAATAAAAAATCATATCCAACCACAAACCATGGGAGAAATTCTTTTTGTCACATGTTTTACACAATAGTTATCATGTTTTACACTGTTTTATATATGTAAATCCAAAATAATTGTCTTAATCAAATTCACACAAAAACCATTGTGACATCAGAACCACAGTTATGAAAACAATCCATGGTTGTGATGTCACAATGGTTTTTGTGATATGATAAATATGATATGATATAACCAAGGATATGAAAAATATTAATATCTCATCTATGATCACTACTAGATAACAAAGGATGGTCTTCTCTAAAACTGAAAAGCTTGATCTTTACTAACAAGAATAAGTGTCTAATATCTGGAATCCATCAGAAAATATCAAACCTGGGGAAATGTGATGACATAAGCACTGTGATAACTGACATAAATACTGTGATGATAACTGACATATGCATGTGATAACTGACTTAAGCACTGTGATAATTGAACTATGCAATGTGACAACTGACATTAGCAGTGTGTGAAAATTAACATAAGCAGTGCAATAACTGCCAAAACCAGGGTGATAACTGACATAATCAGTGTGATAACTGACATAAACAATGTTATATTTACATTTCCAATGTCTTTGTCCCGAGATAAAATTACAAATTGTAAAAATACTTTATTTCTACATAAATCTACTGGTTCATCGATAGGCGCGGCTAAAAAAAAATCACGTGCGGGGCGGGACAAATAGAGACAGAAGCGGGGCTATTAGCACGGGAATTTGCAGAATCAGGAGAATGTAAATATAAGGAATAACTGTCAGATTTTTTGGATTCATGACGATGATCAATCGATTGGCTTGCGTGATAATTTTATGCATAAACGCCTTTGGCGTTTATGCAAATTATCACGCAAGCCACTCGATTGATCACATCATGAATCAAAAAAATTAGACATTTATTCCTTAAATAAATGATCATAGCAGTGTAATAATTGACATAAGCACAGATATAACTGGCAGAAACAGTATGATAAGTGATATTAGCATTGTGATAACCGTCATTAGCAGTGTGGTTACTGACATAAATAGTATGACAACTAATATAACTAGTGCAATAACTGACATAAGCAGTGAAATAATTGACATAAGCAGTTTAATAACTAAGATAAGCAGTGTAATAAGTGACAAAAGCAGTTTGATAATTGATATAAGCAGTGTCATAACTGTCATAAGCAGTGATATCACTGAAATAAACAGTGTAATAACTGACATACACAGTGTAATAACTGATATTTGCAGTTCGTTTACTAATATAAGCAGTGTGATAACTGTTATATGCAGTGTGATAACTAAAATAAAGTGTATCAGTTACTGATATAAGCAATGTAATAATTAACATTAATGGAGACATATGCAGTGTGATAACTGACATAAACAGTGTGTCATAATTAGCATAAGTAGTGTGTCATAATTAGCATAAGTAGTGTAACAAATAAATAAGAAGTGGTTGATAACTGACATGAGCGGTGTATTAACTAAAAAAAAAACCATTGTGATAACTGACATAAGCAGTGTAATAACTAACATAAACAGTGCAATAATTGACATAAGTATAAGTACATATGTAGTGCAATTACAAAAATAAACAGTGTACCAGACATTAACTGTGTGATAACTGACATAAACAGTGTGATAATTGACATAAACAGTATGATAACTGACATATGTCATATGATGACTGACATAACCAGTGTAATAACTATCATAAGCAATGTGATAACTGCCATTAGCAGTGTGATAACTGACACAAGCAGTGTGATAAATGACACAAGCAATGTGATGAATGACAAGAGCAGTGTGATGAATGACACAAGCAACGTGATGAATGACACAAGCAGTTTGATGAATGACATAAGCACTGTTATAATTCACTTTAACAGTGTGATAACTGACACAAGCAGTGTAATGACTGACATAAGCACTGCCAGAATTTGATTTTACACTGTGATTATTGACATAAACAGTTTGATAACTGACATCAGCACTGTGATAGCTTGTATATAAGCTGAATGATAACTGTTATAAGCAGTGTTATATTTGATTTTAGCAGTGTGATAACTGGCATAAGCTGTGTGATTGTGATTAAGTAGTGTAATATCTGACATAAGCAGTGTTATTAGTCATATAAGCATGTAACAACTAAAATAAGCAGTGTAATATCTGAAATTAGCGGTTAGATAAATAACATAAGCAGTCGATCCAAGCAGTGTGATAACTGACAGAAGCAGTGTGATAACTGACAGAAGCAGTGTGATAACTGACAGAAGCAGTGTGATACCTGACAGAAGCAGTGTGATAACTGACAGAAGCAGTGTGATAACTGACAGAAGCAGTGTGATAACTGGTATTTATAAGTAGTGAAAGCAATTAAGCATGAATTATCATGAGCTTCCTGATTCCTCACAATTACTTATCCTTACGCTGTAATAAATTTAAGTATAAATAAAGAAGGACTGATATACCAGATTGCTGCTGATGAATAGAAAAGTCACAAAACAACTTGAATGAAATCAGGGATTCTCTTGGGACCTAAAAACACATTACCACTTTGGTGATCAAATGTCCATGTCTGATGCAATATTCTGAAGTGAAATTAATTTAGAGGAAAACTTTGTTTATACATAGTCTCATGGGTGACAAATTGTTCAGAAATCATTCCATTGAGACATCACTTATATCAACAGGGATTCAATCAGCAATCAATTCCCCTAATTAATGTACACCAGATTTATCAAACTGTACATGATATATGTCTTCCCACAAGGCAGGATGGCCATGTGGCCTTAGTGAATGGATTTACATTAAGCAATCACTAATTAACCAAACAGACTTAGAGGCTTCAATACAAAATCAATAATGGCTATACTTCTGATAGTCGTGATTTACTTTAATATCATATTAAACGTTGATATTACATCCTTGCAGTGGGTGGACAGACTGCTTGGAATCATCTGGCAGTCCACCCGATAAACAAAGGAAGTCATAGATCAATTTCACAGCCAGCAAAAAAAGCCAAAGATAAAGCCCAGAGCTAGCCTAGTCGATAAACTCGTCATTTTGCCATAATAGTGTTGTTCCCAGGTATCTACCTGAACCAAAATCAATGCAGACTGTGTATCTGACTCTAAACATTGCTTAAGAAAAAAATAATAAAAAAAAGGTATACGCTGATCACAGTTTGAAAATGGCTGGCAATAAAGATTGGTTCATAAGCCTGGATTGCATGTAAATCTAACACAACTGTGGAATTTTGGTAGATGAGACATTGCTTCCAAAGCAATTTATGTCCACATCCCTCTAGACATCATTTGTATTGTTTCAACCAGGCAATCAAGACCACATTGAAGAAAGCTTTTAACCATATGGCATACGTATCATCATTTGACATCCCACTTATACCTTTTGGGAAATCTAGCAAGAGTATTGAATGGTGTAATTGTTTTGGTTTTACACCCAAAGGCAGAAAAAGCCAAATTGCTTACATGAATTTTGCATGACGGAATTTTGATACAGGTCTTGCAAACAGATTCTTTTAACAACAGAAAATGGGATTTATCTATCCATGCACATTTTGAACTAACAGTTTCAGTTTTTTTGTACCAGAAAAGCAGATTTCTGGATCAAACCATGTAAAATTTTCTATTTTGGCCACTAAAAATTAAAAAAAAAACTCATATTTTACATATTAAGCTAGTAAACATTAATGAAAACTCATATTTTCAAACATTTATTTCTTAAATGGTAAATTCTCCCTTCCCCATTTCCTCTAATGGAAAAAAAAAACAACCTATGAGCTACAGTCCTGTATAATACATGTAGTTAAAATACATGTACTGACATTCTGTTGCTGACTCTGAGTGATGTCAATTGAAAATATTGAAAAGATCCACTTTCCAAGGATAAGTGTAAATGTTGATTCAAATTCTGATTATATGAGACACCAATGTATGCATATAAGTACTCATTACTAAAGGCAGAGTACTGAAAAAATTCAGCTTCCTATTTAATTTGTAAATTGTTGGTCATGTGCTAGTACCTGAAATATTATTGGTTACATATATCACCTAATGTAATGCCTATGCAAATTTTGTTATTGTTGAACGTGAAGTAACTTTGGAGTGGACTTCTCCCAGAGATTTGATTTCACAATTATTAAAAAATACAGATCACTTAGGCCAGAATAAAATTATTGCTTGCTTGGAATTGCCTCCTGCCTCATTGAAATGACCCCTCCTTGAAAAATTTTATTTACCAAAAATAAGATTTTTTTATTCAAACAATTCTTGGCCTGTTACCACTGTGCCACCCAATCACTTAATAAGTGTAGGATCTAAGCAAAACTGGGCTCCTGGTTGATGGGAGATACCCTTTACAAAAAGGCAGAAAATAATGTGCTCATCCCTTATTGAGATTTTTATCATCAATTTTTAATTTAACTGTAATTTTGAAAAAAAAAAATTCCCTCCCTCCCTCCTGGGTCTGAAACCTCCAAGGCGACAATTCCAAACAAACAATTTTTTAAGGATGGCCTTAAGCACATCAATAATATGCATCCCTAGACACAACATCTGTGGAAGTTTGGACAATGAAACTTTAAAAGTAACTCCAGAATTTAAATGGTCCAATTCTGTGCAAGTTTGGACAATGAAAATTTAAATAAACTACCGAATTTACTTAGTCCACTTAATACATCCTCAGCATAGCACATTCATCCTTAGTGATATCATGAAGTTGATCATTGTCAAACTTGTATCCACTTGGGAATTCACTTACTCTAAAAGCTTTAATATGCAGCATTCAAGGCACATTTAGTAATATGCATTTCTGAATACAAAATCTGTGTTTTAAAAAAAAAAAAAAAAAAAAAAAAAACTATAGGTGCCAGAGAATGGAAATACTCTGTTAACTTTTATATATTCACTCACTCAGAAAATAAAGATCAAATGCAGCACTACAAGAACAACTGACAGATATTTAAGCATTGAATTTTAATATTATTATTTGAAAAATGCTGTCTCATAACTGCCATGGTGTGTGAAAACAAACTGAGTAACATGCTATCATGTATTATTCAGTTTGTGTTATCCTTAGGGTAAGTCACAATTAATGGAAGAGCTAATAGCTACTATCGTTACACTCTTTGATGTGAGTGTAAATTTTGATTTTCAACGTTGCACGTGCAAGGTGTTCAACGTTTGTAATGTCAAAATAATATACAATTATTGCTGTTTTTGAGGTCAATACGACGATTAAGCAATCTGAGGAGTACAATATTCACCGAGCCCGAAGGGCGAGGTGAATATTGTACTTTGAAGGTGGCTAAATCATCGTATTGACTGAAAAAACAGCAATAATTGTTTTATAATATGATTCAATGATTAAATGATACAAACTAATTAAAGAATTCATGCCATCTTGTTTACATTTGCTGAAGTCCTAGCCATGAGAGAAACATGGTCAAATAAACATTACCAGTCGTAATTATTTTGAATCTTTTTTAAAATCTGCATCTAGTTTAGTTGCTATGAAGAAAAGAAATGTCAGGCTCTTTTATAGGATCGATTTTGAAAGGGGAAATTATCAGGAAAATCTGACTGCTGAAAAAAAATCTTTGATTAGCCCCATGAAAAGAGAATTCTCTTAACTTCAAATTTTGTTTTGGGGTCCATTAGTCAGGGACCAGCCTAATACTGAAGATTTTTTAGCCTAAATTAAAAGTAAAAATTTACGTTCAGGAAAAAAAGTGTTGGGGGGGCTACACCCCCTCCCAACCACCCCCTCCCCAATTTATATATTCTCTTTTAAGTTCACCTGAGTGGAAGTTGGTAGCAAGTGAAATAGCTTTCCAAATCTATTTGTTTCAATTTGGAATTTCCCGATCTATTTTTAGACCAATGTAGAGAAAAAAAAATAAAAATATGTAAAAATATTATAAAAGCGTGTTTAGGAACTTCTTCCATCTGGAAATTACTTAAACTATGAATTTCGGGATACGCTTGATTGACATGCATCCATGTACTCTCACTAAGTAAACTTTATCCTTTTAATTTAAGAAAAGTGGAGAATTCATTGTGAATTTATAAACAATATCAAAACTATAATCCAGAAAATTCAGATTAGAAATGTGAGAAAGCAAATCCAACTCACTTGTATTGTAAGTCCGTGCTCAGTGATGTGTGCAGACTAAACAAATTGAACACATCCGGTAAAATGTTAAAAAGGGTTAACATTAACAATAACAGAGCTCATACCCATGTTTACAAAAACAGATGTTTGATCTGATGTAATCAATAATGTCTTTACCAATTTTCATGCAAGTTCAATTTATTAAACTGAAATTATTTTTGAATAAAAATAAAAATTTGAAATAGTAAACAAAACGGCAATGCAACTGTGTCCAGACCCCTTTGAAGCATCCTTTAATTCATAATTTCAATATTGTAAAAATTGGTTGCTCAAAGAGGAAAATCCACCACTTTGACCTACAATATGGCAGCCAAGGGGAATAACTCGGAGGCAAAAAACATCATAGGAAAACTATCTATTGTGGCCCCACCTATCCATTTGGGTCATTATTTGAACAAATTTGAATCTACATTATGTTAAGGAACTAAATTCACATAAGTTTCAACTTTTCCGGCTCAGTTATTCTTGAGGAGATTTTTTAAAGACACCCACCATATATTTTCACTATGTTGTAATTATCTCCCATTTCAAAAGGGTCTGGCACTTCATTTGAATAAATTTACATTCTTTTTTCCCAAGAATGCTTTGAAGTAAGTTTGGTTGAAATTGGGTCAGTGGTTCATGAAAAGAAGTTGAAAATGTAAAAAGTTAACAGACGAACAGACTGAGAGATGACGAAAGACAAAGGATCAGAAAAAGTCACTTGAATCTTTGGTTCACATGAGCTAAAAACATGGGAGATTCTTTTTATATATATGTTTTCTTGGCTAAATTTAATTTTTTTTTTTGCCTTTGCTTAATAAGATTTCAATTCATCAGGACAGAATAGTTGAAAACAAATTACAGTAAAACAAGGTTACAGCATATGCCCTAAATAAAATGAATTCACACTTACAGCAAAGTGATTTTCATTCCGCACAGTTTAAAACAAACATTGTTTATAACAAATCAAAGTTGATCATCCCTGGCACTTTTCCATCAGTGTTTTTTACTGTATGTCAAAAAGACTTCAAATTAAATCCAGAAAATATGGTGTTTACCTTCATCTGCCAGGTCTTTGTTCAGCACTAGTTTTCCGTGTCGGAGGTAATTCAGGACAGGCCCAAAGTAAGTAGGGTCCCGGTCAATCAGATAAGCACCATTCTCATCCTGTAAACAACAGAGAGGAATCAGAGGATATACTGAGGATATTCAATGTTTTGAAGTTGGATATGGACTTAAGTTCACAATGGGACAGAATTCGTCTTTTTTTTTTTTTTTTTTTTTAAAGATTTTCACTTGTGCAGACCATGAGTGAAAATTTTAAAAAAAATCCTGTCTAAGGAGTAAATTTCATATCCAACTATAAGACATTAAATTTTCTGTTTAATATGACATTTTCTTTGGCTTTCCCTTTTGGCCCTAACACCTATTAGCTGTCTTTTTGTAACACAGTGTCATAGGCTATGACATCATAGCTGAGCTGTTGTGAGATCACAGCTAAGCGATTGATAGACTGAAAACTGTAAACATGGATTTTAATAATTTGGAGAAACTTTGGTAGTTTTACTTATGTCAGTGTCGGAATAGTTTATTTACTCTCACTATGTTTAGGGAGTATTTTCTCTAACACTCTTCATGAATGGAAGGACATTTCTGCCAAAAATTTATTATTTTCTCTGTAAAAATAACACTTTTGCTATTTTCACACTGAAAATAACAAGTTTATGAATCTAATATCTTTTTTCATTAATAAATTATATTATTTCACTCTTGAAAATGTAATAAATGATATTATGAAATCTAACATTAGAGTGTACCAACAACCAGAAGTCTCTGATGAGACTGTAGAAATCATTTCATTGAAATCAAAAACTGGTCTGTACATAAAACTGGTCTGTACATAAAACAAAGTAAAAGTAGCACTTGGATTTGAAACTTTGCAACACGCAGCAATAAATAGAATAATGTATCTTAATGTAGTCTACTTGTGTGCCAAGTTATATTGAAATCAGACTAAAACTGAAGGAGGAGTAGCCTTTTAAAGAAAGTTCACAAAAATTTCTATTTTTAGTAACCATGGCAACACAGTTCATTGAAATCAAAAACTGATGCACTAAATTATGTATCTTAGTGTAGTCTACTTGTTTGCCAAGTTATTTTAATATCAGACCAAAACTGAAGGAAGAGTAGCGTTTTAAATGAATTTCGCAGAAATTTCTATTTTTAGGAACCATGGCAACACCGTTCATTGAAATCTAAAACCGATGCACTAGATTATGTATCTTAGTGTAGTCTACTTGTGTGCCAAGTTATATTGAAATCAGACTAAAACTGTAGGAGAAGTAGCATTTTAAAGGAATTTCACAGAAATTTCTATTTTTAGTAACCATGGCAACATGGTTCATCGAAATCAAAAACCTATGCACTAAATTATGTATCTTAGTGTAGTCTACTTGTGTGCCAAGTTATATTGAAATCGGACCAAAACTGTAGGAGGAGTAGCGTTTTAAAGGAATTTCACAGAAATTTCTATTTTTAGTAACCATGGCAACACCGTTCATCGAAATCAAAAACCGATGCACTAAATTATGTATCTTAGTGTAGTCTACTTGTGTGCCAAGTTATATTGAAATCAGACTAAAACTGTAGGAGGAGTAGCGTTTTGAAAAATTGTTTACAGACAGACGGACAGACAGACAGACAGACGGATGGACGACGGACACCTTACTATTGCATAAGCTCTTCTGGTCTCTGACCAGTAGAGCTTATAACTAAGAATGCAAGCTGTCAGTTCTCAGCTGAGCTTGAATCTTTGCTATACATATATAGATCACTTTTTGGGTTTACTTCTCCTCACAAAATAATCAAAATTTGCTAATGATTGTTTCCCTACAATTTTACAGAAGACTTCACAACTGTAAATAAAACATATACAATGAAACTTGTCTAATCTGGATGTTATGTATTTCGAAATCTTGTCTAATACGATGTAAATTTTAAGTCCCTATCAGTAATTTCAATTGTTTAAAATGTAGTCTAATCCGGTATGTTGTCTAATCCAGCCAATTTTTTTGGAACCAGTGGTGTACGGATTAGACAAGTTTACTGTAGAAATGAAAAAAAAAAAATCTCTCCAATTGAGCATGGAATTTTACAATAAATTTCATAAGATACTGAAAAACCTTAAGGTGGATATTTGCTTTACACAGGGCTCTCACACTACAAAGAGTCCTAATATAAAGTATCATATATTTTGTGTTTTATTCAAAGGATGAATTGTCAATCAAAACTCCTCAACATGATTATTCATAACAAAATTATTTAAGATGCATTTATAATGAAAGGGCAGTCTGATCCAACCCCAAACACATCTAATACATACATAAACATATTAACTCAATGGTAGAATACTATTTAGAGTTCAGAAATCAAAGGTTTGATTCCCAATCTGGTCTCTGGCCCATTTTACCCTTCTATTACTGTACAAAATAACCTTACTTTTGAGAGATACATGTAATTATTTGGTTTTAATAAGCCACCAAAAAAAAAACTAATTTCAGTTATTTTTATAATCTTTAATAACACAAATATATCCGAAAAATTTTCATGAGAAGATAGTCTCCCTTAATTATGCAAAAAATTAATGTCTAGCTAAAAAAAAATTATTTACATTAATCTATTTGACTTTTTGAATTAATGTTTGATTATAACTTTAAATACATCATACCCCTGCATATACCAGTATATGAGAGGAAATGTGAGATATGCCAAATAAGCCACCATGGGTCAATCCTACAGACTCTCATTCTTTTAAACAGGCGAAATATTTCATGTAAACCAGTCCATTAAACCCTATTCACAATATCAAGTTTGACATTTAAACTTTGTTGTGAGACTTCTATCCTAAAAAAATTGACATGAAAACTTAAATATGTAATGAATTAAGAGGTCTGTTTATGATTTAAAATTTAAATGCACGGTTCTGTATACCAGTACACATACAAGTATGTATTTTTCTAACATATAAGCTGTGTTTGAAATAACCGTGCGCTTTACCGCCCTAGACGCACAAATTTTGATGCGGACGTACAGATTTGCACGTATACCCGGCTGGACGTGTTAAAATTTGCCATATTTAAAATTCATATATTTGATAAATATCTCTTAAATCAACTAATAGTACTGGTAACTAAGTGCAACAAGCAAAGGGGTAGAATTCGACAGCCTATAGATTCAGAATGGAAGTTATGGTGATCGTGCCCAATTCACATTATCGCTAAAAACAAAGTTATAAAAGACTTTTATTTTCTCGAGCTAGTAATGTTTTGGCAGGGCTGACAACTTTCACTAGCAGTCAGCCCTGCATGTCTAGCTAATACCCGGTATTGCTAATATTGAGTTTCAAACACTGATATAAGTTTGTTTTACTCTTTATCTATGAAGAAGCAGTAAATAAACAGACAGACTTGTTCTTTTAACACTTTTTTCCCAACTGACCAACATTAAACAACAAATTGTTTAACTGTACAGTAAACAATTATGTATGCATAATTATAAAATGAATGCTTTATTTTTGTTATAGTTTAAAACATTCAAGTTGAACATGACATCAACATTTTTATGCCCCCGTATCGAAGATTCGGGGGTATATAGTTTTTGCCATGCCCATCCGTCTGTCTGTCTGTTTGTCCGCAAAAACTTTAACATTGCCCATAACTTTTGATTGGTTGGAGCTATGGCTTTCATATTTCACATGTGTATTCCTTGTGACAAGACCTTTCTTTGGGTACCACCATATTTGACCTTGACCTTGGAGTTTGACCCAGTTTTGCAAAATTTTATCCAACTTTAACCTTGGCCATAACTTTTGAACAATTGGTGCTAAGGCTTTCATACTTCACATGTGTAATCCTTGTGACAAGTCCTTCCTTTGGATACCAACAACTTTGACCCTTTAACCTTGACCTTGGAGTTTGACCTACTTTTGAAAAACTTTAACCTTGGCCATAACTTTTGAACCGTTGGTGCTAGGGCTTTCATACTTCACATATTCCTCACTGCAAACTACATTCTTGTGGTAGCAACTAAAGTTCAACAAAAAATAAAAACAGTAGACTAAACATTCTTCGTTAAAACTAACGCTGTTCAGGCTAAGATTTGCTTATGCAACTTACATACCACGTCATGTGACATCAGACATCTAGACGTACCAAATGTCATGTGCGGTTTGAAGAGACGATGTAAATAAAAAACTGTATAGGTATCTGCGCTCGCCCTAACGGTCGCACCATCAACATATTAATCTGCTTTTTATATACAAATCTAAGATCAGTAAAATCGCATCAGAAGCAGTAACCGATTCCAACCAATGATCGATTATGAAAATAAACCGATGTCCCATCAAAAGTTTATTGAGAGGCAAAAAGTAGCAGTATTAACAAACATTTTTAGGTATAATGAGTACAATTAATCATTTTTATGTGGATTAGATACATTCATTACACGTGTGGATTGTTTTTATTAGGCCTGTTGTAAACAAAAACAGGATACACAAATCTATAATAGTTATGACATAAAACAGATTAACTACTTAAATACCTTGTCTGAGTTAAGGTCTGGTTCGTCTTGTATAAGTCTATACAGGAAGGATTTGGGGTCTCTACATAGGGTGGTTCTAGTCGTCAAAAACACAGTCCCACCAACATTCAGCTTCACCCACTGACTGTGTCTGTTTTGGGCAACTTTTGATTCCACATCGGAATCCATCTTGGACTTTTCTGATGACATAATTTAGAAATAAGAGATTACAAAAAATCCTGAGGCAATCCCTGCAGAATTGCACAGCAGGTAAATAAACAGCAAGTCCTTTAAGATTTCATCTGCAACATCATTAATCGTTTCTCGTCTTTCTTCTCGTTGTAATCCCGTTGAAATCAACGTTAGTAAAATGCTTTCAATCTTTTTGAAATTTTTATTAAGTCTTACGATTACTATTTCGGGGTAAACTTCTTTGGCTTGGTTAAGCCCTCTTGTACAGCACAACATTGCATCCTCAAGTGTATTGTGTTTAAAATAGTGAAATCAATAGTTTCACAATGATAACATGCTGAATTTTTTTGTGTGAAATGCGAGAATTTGGAGATAATTTCTGGGGTAAAAAAAAAATAAGAAGAATTTTCTTTTGTCATAATGAGGCACCGCTTTAGTATTTTTGAGGTATTTTCTGAAATCAAAAGAAAGGAGAAAGAAAAGAATTCTTGATATCATGAATTTGAATTCTTGATAACAAAAAAAAAAGTTTGACGTTGAAAAATAATGTTTGATATCAACACATGATATTTGATACCGGCTAAGAATTCGAATTTTTGATATCAGAAAATCATTGATATCAAAAACTAATTTTTTTATATTAGAAATTAACAATTATTTCTGATATCAACAAATTGAATGACTGATATTCAATGTTTCTCTCATATATTCAATCCGAGTAAATAGCTGTACTTGATTTCTGATATCAGAATTTTTTCAGTCAGAAATTCAAGTTTTTGATATATAAAAAAAAACTGATATCAGAAAACAGAATATTTCATATCTTAAAAATCCTGATTATGTTTTTGATAGAATTTTTTTGTGAGATCGGAAAATTGAGTTTTTTTGATAGATACCGGATGATTTCTGAAGGATTTTTTTCTACCTAGAAATTACCTTAAAATACTTATGCGACGTTTCATATTTCATGTCATCAGTAAATTGATTTGTTGATACTATAGATATCAGTAAAAAATTATGTAAGAAAATCTTATTATATATATTGAAAAAAAGTCGAATTTCTTGATATCTAAAAATCATACTCTGGAATCAGAAATTCAGGGGGTTTTTTTGTGTTTGTTTGTTTTTTGTTTTTGTTTGTTTGTTTTTTTTTTTGTTGTTTTTTTTTTTTGTTTTTTTTTTTTTGGACAGAAATGATTATAAATGATGTTTTTTTTTTTTAAAGACAAAAATATTTTCAAATTTTTGTTAAAAATGATGGAAAAACAGTAGTGTTACACTTTCACCAAATCAGTTTTAAGTTTGGTCTTAGGTTTTAAGAAATCCCTCCCCATTTACGTTTGAATTCAAACGACAGAGGGTTTAGCCAAAAAAAAAAAAAAAGAAAAAAAAATTGGTAAAATCCAGGCCATTAGTTTCAGTATTACATGAACATACTTGCATTATTAAATAATGCAACGACATTGTATACATATCAGACTTGAACGTGCTGAGGGGTCCCTACCTGGTTGAATATAAGATGGGGGGGGTGATTTTTTTAGCAAATAAATAATTTTCCTCAAATGAGTATGAAATAATTGGCCTGCAAATATATACAGATATGACCCTTCCCTTACTAAAGGGAAAATCACACTTGATGGTTGGCCTTATAGTTATAAAGAAATCGGGGGTTCACCATTGTCATCGGACAGACACCAGTTATGCTTTTCAGGCGCGTAGTCAACCATGATTACAAGCCCTAGGTAACTTATAACAGTGGCCAGCTTCCGACAAAAAGATATAACGAGTTGTCCTTAATCAGGAATAACAGTCATTGCTCTACCAGAAACTTACACCGTGTCCCGGAAGGTATATCAAGCAAGCCTACGAGAGATTGTCCTCTCTATGGTCGGCCTCTAAATGGTTAGTCACGATACTGTAATTTGCAGTAATAACACAATTCTACTAATTTAGTGTGGCAACCTTCACCGTTAGGCATTCCATCTAGTATTGTAAGGATAAGCGTGGTAAGCCCCAATATTAGGTCATCTACCAAACTAATCTTATCTTCGAAATAATCATCTTTCTTCTGTTGTAAGACTAATGAATCCCACAGTTTAGCTGTGATCGTTCAAATACCTTTTGAAGGTTTAGGTTAATTTCATAGAACCAGGTCGACTATTCTGAATACACAAATTATACATCGTTACACTACCCACGCCTTCAATGACTTGCGACCCACATGTTAACAAACATTTTGTCTTCAAAAGTTTTTTGTTTAATTTACGCTTAAAAGCATAACCTGCAGAGTTACTTTACATTGTAGACATTACAAAGTAATCAACTTCATGATAACAGATACAAAAGTGTTCACATTAAATACATTTTTGCATTGCTCATTGAAGACATTTTTTTCTTTGCTGACAACTCTCGCATCTTTTACCGAAAGTAATATACATGTGTATACTTAAAAGAAGATTTTCTTTCCTTTAGTATATCTTACTTTTGAGCACGCAGCGGGTTGAAATACATGTTTACTTTATCCTCTATATCAAAAATAATTATCGAATTAGTCGAATTAGCCTAAGAACGATTCGGTTAAGTTGTAACCAAACGTTGCAGAGACTTTGACGTCCTCCGTTGCCGAACAAGTGGACGACCAGCAAAGGCAAAGAACTCTCAAAAATGAGGTTCTTTGAAGTTCTTCGTTGCTCTAGAATATCAAAATCAAGTTTAAATGTTGCAGAGTTTATGAAAAATTTTCCAGCAGAAGTAGCACCGAAAGCAAAAGAGCTAGCGTTGATTAATCAAGGATTATCCGGAGCGTAAGCATACAGTATTTATACTTGATGTTAACTTTTTTATAGAGAAGATAACAAAAGAAATATTTGACGTTAATGATGTCCAATGAAAGAAACAAAAGTAGATAAGTTATGTTGTCGGACTGTATGCGATATAATTGAAACAAAATGTTTTGAGGAAATTCGGGTGTAAAGGAAAATGCTCCATAAATCAAGATATGACAGGTTGGAATCAGCTGGCCAAATGGAATATAATAGCCCATTTGGATATAAATAGTAATGTAACGAATGTTGCAGACTTTTGATTGGGTCATCATAAATGAAACAATGTCTATGTATTTACACTAATTTCTAGTGCCCATGAACTATGTAAATAACCGACTGTTATTTTCATAATTGAAAATTGCCATTGTTGGTAATTTTTCATAGTACGAACTAACTTTCCCTTTTTTACTGCGACCTAATGGAAAACTCCAGGGATTTTTCACTGCCCCATGTATGGCCGAATTTAGGCCTCATTCCAAATTGCAAAAACCCTCTCTTTTTCCCAAAAAATTACAGGTAACTCTTAATGGCTCGAACTTCGATCTCTCGAAGTTCTTGATCCCTCGAAGTGAGTCTCCGGTCCCAAATTTTTCCCTTATATAACTAAGCAAATTTACTCTTGATTTCTCGAACTCTTAATCTCGAGAAACCCTTGATCCCTCGAATTCAAAATGCAGTCCCGCTATGCATATTCTATTAGAATTTACCCTCGATACCTCGAAGTGGCTATGTGTATACAAGGTTATATAATTAGCACCTTTACCTGGACATTTAAATGGCCCCAGGCAGAAGGCGCGGGTCTCGAGGAACGGGATGTTTATTCAGGTGACACTTATGTTGAAGGTGATAATTGATTTATAATTAATCATATTTTGCCTATATGCTATTAAAATAATTATCATCGACTGTCTTACTATAATTTAGAGACGCAGTGGCAGTGAAAGGTAGTAATTGATTAAAAGACGAAACACTAATTTAATTTTTATTTCGAGTCAGTGTCAAAGTTAAATGAAATATGAAAAAGCTGAAACAGTCTCAATGTCAATATGACGACTATTGGACAAATACTTACAGAACTGCATTCAGTGATCATGTTTGGAATAGTCAATGCTATGTACGACACTGTAAAATATCGTTTTTATGTAATGAATGCGTAGTATGATGTCCGTATTACAAAGATTGAAATGACGATATACATTGTTGCTTTACTCAGTTTAATGAAATATTCATCTAAATTACGAAAAATATCGTTGTTTTATAAAAACGATGTGTGAAAGGTTAGCACTGCATGAAAATCATTACATCCGGTAAGACTAATTTTAAAACCTGTCAACAAACCCGGAAAATTCCAGACTCTTGAAAACTCGAACTCTTGAGCTCTCGAAGTTTTTCCTTGGTCCCGCGGACTTCGAGGTATCGAGAGTTACCTGTAATTGTGTGTTGTGCTCAGAGTTGAAAATCAATGGAATGACAAAAGTTAAGGGAAGCCTTGTCCTGTTGATGACTGACAATTTTTTAAATTGTCTTTTCTCTGATTGAAAGTTCTAAATTGTTAAATAAAAGCTGAAATTTATTCATAATTAATGTTTATTTCTTGAATATTGTCTTGGTATATCAGTGTTTGAAACTCACAATAGAATTAGCTATACATGCAGGGCTGACTGCTAGTGAAAGTTGTCAGCCCAGCCAAAACTCAACTAGCCCAAGAAAATAAGTCTTTTATGAATAAGTTTTAGTGATAATGTGAATGGGGCACGATCACCATAACTTCCATCCCAAATCTATAGGCTGTTGAGTTCTACCCTTTGCTTGTTACACTTAGCTACCGATACTATCAGTTGATTTGAGAGATATTTATTAAATATATGAATTTTAATTCATGGTAAATTTTAACACGTCCAGCCGGGCGTTGATACATGCAAATCTGTTTGTCCGCGGCAAAATTTGTGCGTCTCGGGCGGTCGGGCACACGGTTATTTCACTGGGTATATTTTTTCCCAAATAGTAAAAAAATGTTAATAAATTCCCAATTCCAAGGGCCCAGGCCCCAATGGCCCATTACCAAAATGTAGTGGAAAATCCCTGAACTCTGTGCTGAGCCAGACCACATGCTTGCATTAAAATGTGAACCTGCACACTGTTGGACACGTGTATTGCATTATTGGATGAAGCCGATTAGGCAATTGGTTCCAACCTGTATGAAGATATTTTCAAACTGCCATGTTTTAAACATTTGTTATTAACATGAGATAATTTCAGTTAATGTATAGAAATAATATTAATATGAAGAATCTGTACTCAAACTGCTTCTTCAGAATGATGCACCAAAACATTTTATGTCAATGTG